ACAGCAGCCGCTAATCTATGCTAAGTTGACTAAGATAAGCTACTCAAAACTGAGCTAAAATAAAATTAGCTAGGTTTGGTGAACAAAAATAACCAGAGCTAAAATTGGGCAAGCTAAATTTAAATAAACACCAGAGAACTATTAGTTAATTGAAAGGCTAAACATGATTTTGAGTATCTTAAATACTCATACTATCCATTATATTTAATCAGATTTCTTGTTAACTAATTTTATTAATATGGTTTTTAAGTTTTATGTAAATCTAGTGGATAGGGAGCTTCTACACAATGTGCCTCTTTTACACTCAGACATATGAAAATTGTTAATTGGGGCCTAATTACAGGGTCTCCACATCAGCATTTAGCCAAACAAACAAAAGGAAACAATGCAAAATATATTTTCATTACCTTTACTACCTCTTCAGTTCTGGGAGAGGGGGCCTGATGAGCCCAACAAAGGTCTGAGGAATGTCTCCTCCTCAGTCCAGACAGCCTGAGGAATGTGGAGGAGGCGCTGCTCAACTCGATGAAAAGAAAAGATAGAAACAAGTAGGAATCCTGTGTTTGGGCTCACTCCATGTCCGCAGCGTCAGCTCCTGCGGTCGCAGCGTGAGAAACAACAAAGCAACCAGAGGAGTGGAGACTCCCTTCATCTTAAGACCCCATACGCGCCGTCGCTAATCCCAGGAATGACAGGAATAGAGAGACTTTTAAAGGAGACGCCAGGTTGATAACCTGTATGAACTAACACTTAGAAAACATTCAGCAAAGAACAGAAGAAATATAAGAATTCTGACTTTTTTCTAATTTCAGAGAAAAAATTCAGAATTCTGAGATTAAAGTCAAAATTATGAAAAAACATCTAAATTTTGACCTTTTGTCACTAAATTTGGACTTTTTTCTCAGAATTTTTAATTTTTTCTCAGAAATTGGAGACAATCTTCAGAATTCTGAGATTCATGTTGCAATTGTTAGTAAAAAATAGTTCAAATTTACTGACAAAAGGTCAAAAAGTCAGAATTCTTAAAAAAAATCAGAATTTTGACTTTGTGTCTCCAAATTTATACTGTTTTTTAACTAACTAGAATAACTGTTTACAGCACCTTCATTTCAGAGACTGATTGTTGAATAAATTCAAGATTTGTATGCATTTGATACACTACAGTGTAGTAGGGTCATAAAAAAGGAGTAAATTTCTGCCAAAAAACTCAAGTTTTAAGTAAAACATTTGCAAGAAAAAAACTTGAATTAGATTGAAATTGAATTAATTTAAGAGATTCTCTAGAAACAAGCATTTTTTTAGTTTGAAAAATCAAAGCCTTTCCAATTTTTCTAGAAAATATTTTAGATTAATCTCAAAACATGAGATTTTTGTACTTTTTTCTATCTAGTTACACCGCCATATGTTTCTCCTTAATTTCGCTCTTTCCATTTATTTTTCCACTTTCTTCTGACCTCTTGTAGAGAATATCCCACCTTGTCTTTCTCTTACTGAGAGGTTGTTCAAATATTTGAGCTGATCAATAATCAGTGCGGTTTCTCTTCACAATGCTATCACTGATCTGTTTGTGTTTCATGCTATCAGCTGTTTAACAGGCATTGTGTTTCTGTTCCTGTAATGTCGCCCAATCAATCTGCGCAAACATGGATCCTGGAGTCAACAGAGTTACATTTTGTTCACATTCTGCAGAAAAAAACCATCTCAAATGAAGACACTAAACTCTCAGAGGTGACTTTAGTGGGGATTTTCTCCTGTTTTTCCAAAACCAAACCCTCCTCAGAGCTGGAATCTTCCTTTCCCATGGAGATAATCGTCTTTGCAGCTCCAACGTTTATGTTTAGCTGAGGAATAATCAGAAGATATGAGTAGGAGGAGGCGATAAAGATGCACAGAGATGGGAATGTCACGGTCAGCGGGGCAAACACGTGTTCATCCCACACAATGAGCCGGTCAGGTATTAACTGCCGGATCCTCGGACAGCTTTATTCGTCTCACAAACGTTTTACATCATCAGTCTGAAGCTGAAGGGATCCATCGAGGCTTAAGCCTCGTTCCAGAAAGGAAAGAGACGTGTCAGTAAAGGAAACATTTATATCCTATACTGATATAAATCATTTCACCTTGTTGTTTGATGTAATTTAAATAATCTTCCAATAATTTTCCGACAATATTACTGACTTAAATCAGTTTTATTTTTCGTCTTTGAGTGGGAATACTTGCATTTATATGTCACTGTTATTAGTATGTCAGTTGAAAATTGTCTCAAAATGACAGTTATCATTTATTCCAGGACAATTTAATGTCCAGCAAATTTTTTTATTTTTACACACAGTCGCAGCCATTGAGCTACGTAAAAAATAAGCAATAAATAGTTCTTATTGTCATTTTTATCATTTTCAGAATATACTTCTATAAACCTTTTAAGTCCACATATCCCAGTTGTAATGTAAATGTAGTTTTAATGAGATTAAAGCAGCCCAAACTATCATTTTTAGGTCCTAAACCGCTCTGAATTTAAACTTGTAGCTGTTTATTTACTCTTGAAGGCATCAGTTTGACTTCCTGCTTATTTTTCCCCATAGTATATAATTCAACTGGCACATAAAAGATACTCCTTCAACCTTAAAATGATGCAGAAAAACCTGAATTTTGCTCACTTCCAAATAAAATTCAGATAAAAGTTTAATAGTTTAAAAAGGAAATGATCTTTTAAACGTCCAGCCTGTTTGTGTGAGGGGCGTGTCTGTCTGCTCTAACAGCATCCATTACAGTTTTAGTGACTGAAAGCCATAAAAGCCATAAAATCCTCTGCTGCCGCTTTACGGCTGAGCCTGGGGAGCTTTGGAGGCTGTAAAAAAAAACACACTGACCACATTCAGACCCCTGAGACCTTCTGCAGGAAAACAGGAACACAGCGAGCGCTTACGAACACTTTCCCTGCAGGGTCTGTTCAGCTGGACGTAAAATACACACATCAGCCTTCCTTGAACAGGGCAGATCTGTGGCCTATACAAAACATGGTCATTCATTTTTTTGCACAAAATTTTTGATAAAATTTTAGTTTTAGTAAAATTTTTAGTTCTTTCGTTTAAGTCCAAATAAACTGCTGCTGGCCACACCCCCAAAACTCAAAAGTTTACACTAGCACATGAAAATGGCTGCAAACAGATGAGCGATTATTCAACCTTACGTCTTCGAAAGGCACAAGTGGAGCCTCCTGCACAACCAACAAGAATGCAGCAAGCACTTGTCTTCTCCAGCAGACATGCAGTAAAACCGGCTGACCAAACGTGCTGGAGCTCAGCTTGAGTTGCTAGGTAACGGTTCAGCGCTCTCCAATGTGATTTAATTAGGTTTTTGAAACGACTCACTTTCCAAACACCAAATAAACATAAACTTATTGCCGAAAACGGCTGTGTAGTTTTTAGGAGTAGAAATGCAAATGGAAGAATAAAAACATGAAATCTTAGAATTTTGCTTAAGACACCAACAACTCTATAACTTATAGTTTGAACAAGCTTATTCACACGTGATTTTAATTTAGTTTTTTTTATTTACTGGTGTTTTTGTTTTTACTGCAATTACAAAAAATTATTTTTTGGGGGCTTTAGCAGATCATCAAAGTTCTGCACACATTTGTAATGGAGACGCAGCTAGTGAGTAAATTTTACTGGCGTAAGAGGTTAGAGCACATATTTAAGATGTTTTCCCATCCGGATGCCCAATAGATTCGGTTTGATTTAGAACCAAAGTTGAAACATTTGTTCCAGTTTCACTGCGCTGAATCGAACTGAACTCGTTGAAAAACCTGCTGTTTCCAACGATGAGATTTAGGAGGTAAATACTGTCAGAATTACTTGTTTTTCCTTGAGTAAATTAAAATAATAGTTTAAAATATGCTAATATAACAAGAGGTTCAGTGATCTGTGGTTAATTCACAACCAAACTTCCTCTGAAGCGCCTGACTGGAGGTTTCTGATCCATCAAATTATCATTTAGTAGATCTCTAATCATCAGTTTGACCTTAAAAACATTTTAAAAGGATAATAGGAAAAAACGACACTATGGTTTTAAATTAAAGGAGCAGCTGAATGAATTCTTCCAAAGAGTTTCAGCTTCACTGATTTTCTCCTCCCACTGCTACATATCCCCGTCCCCCCACTGGAATCGCCTTTCTGCCCAGTTTCCAACTGGTTTAGTGTCCTCTTCCTCCCTGCAGGGGGATCAGGTGGGAACGAGGCCCGTCGCCGCTCCCAGCGCCGCCACACTTTCTCCCTGCTTTTGAGAGGCGGCTGCATGCGGCGTTTCTCAGGATTGCTGCGTTTTTCATGTCGCATGTTCCCAGAAACTCGCATGGAGAAAACCGCTGCCTCCCGGGAATAATCTGGACGTTTACGAACAGATTCAGGTCAATTTCTGACATCTGAACTGGAAAACACTTTTAGAAACCAAAAGTAACGAACAAAAAGTTACTTATGTCTGGGGCTGCTGTAAAGTTATACTTTAGTAATCAAGTATCCTATGGATTATTCTTATAACTAATTTAGTAATAAAAAAATTGATAAAATAAAATTTCATTTCATTTGTCTTGGTAATTTTATCAGTTCTTTTCCATTAACTGATGTTTTTGTTTGACGATGTGTTTAATCATTTCTACTTATGGCATTAATTTAGCAAAATGTTCTCACATCAATATATGTATTGATTAAACAAAGATGGGCAACAACAGCAATAAATGTTACAATTTGTTTTTTTCTGTCTTTTTGTTCGACTAAAGAAGCTAAATTAATTTTCCAATATATAGATATTGAAAAACGTTTCCAAATATAATCATATATGAGATCAAAACTAGTGACTATTTTGAATGTAAACAAGAGTAAAAAGTTTAGTCGTGGAGTGATGTCACACCACCAACAAAGGGAAAGGCTGTGATGTCATCAGCTGTGTGTATACATATATTTTTCTAACAAAATTCTGCATTGCTTGCTATATCACTGACTAGTTCAGACGTACGCCAAGCTTTTTAAATCGACCGTTCAGGATCAACACATTTTATCGAACACAATTAAGGGAAAATGTCTCAAGAGCCGAGATGCTACAACAGAATGACGCGACCCGCTGTGAGAAGGGAAAACCACCGAACTTCACAGCGCAGGGGCCCGCCTGTGCACCCGTATGTTTTACACATGGAAATCCAAAGGCTGCACTGTATTCTGGAAAAGGAGAGATCCCAAAGGTTTCAAGACAGCAAAAAACTGTCCCTCCTGAAGGCAAAGCTGGAAGAGACGAATATCCAGTTAAAAAGGCAGAAAGCTCTCAAAGAAATGTTTATCAACAGGGACAAAGAGACACAGAAGAAACTGGAGAGAGTAGAGCAGTTTAGTGATCCTGGAGTCCTTAACGCTGCCGTCCTTGCTGCCCAGGTTCACAACACCGTGAAACACAAGAATAAGAAGATGCTGCAAAAAGACTTTGAGGAATTAAAGGTGGCCCTCCTCCTCAGCCAGGAAGCATTATCGTCACAAATCCAGGCTGAAAAAGACAAAAATAAGGTCCTCCAAGAAGAACTGGACAAAGTCCAGACTTCCTACAAGGAGCTTTGCTCTATGTATGAAGCCGACGAGGCCGAGACGCAAACGGTTTGTGAGGAGCAGGAGCTTCTTGGGAATCTGGGAACCGAAAGGGACAAAATGTTTCAGAAAGTGTCAGAAGAGATCGCATTTCTCCAAAACAGTTTCCAGGAAGAACTGGAGCAGATCAAACTTTCATACAGAGAACTGGACTGTAGGCATGACGAAGATGTTTCTGGACTGACACAAAAAGTGGAAACGCAGGAGGTGAGGTTTGAGAATGACGTGAATTTGGGAAAAGCAATTGAGAACCTGACAGCTGAGAAGGAAGGTCTCGTCCCAAAAATGTCAAAAGAGATTACACCTTCTGAGAAGAGGGAGAAAGAAATGCTAAATGAACTAGACCAGGTTAAAGTTTTATACCAAAAGCTGAAAACTAAGTATGAAACGGATGTAGCTGAGTTACAACAACAGGCTGAAACATATTGTCAGAAGATAAAGTTAAATAAAGTCGCTAATTTAAAGAGAGCAAAGGAAGACAAAAAGCTTATCGATGAGCTGCGTGCGGAGCTGGACAATCGGGCCCAGGAGGTCGCACGTCTGGAAAATGTACGGAAACAGAATCTGAGCGAACTCGATCGGGTTAAAGTTTCACACCAAGAAAAGACCACCACGTATGAAAAAGTTGTTTCCGAACTGAAAACCCAAGTAGAAACATATCGGGATGCGGTAGATCGCGAGAGAAAAGCCAATTTGGAAAGAGCAGAGAAGTACCTCCAGCAAATCAACACCCTGAAAGCTGAGAAGGAACATCTCTGTGAAGAAATGTCCATCGAGGTCCAGAATCTGCAGCAGAAGTTCAACATGATCGCCGAACATTTCAAGTATCATATGGGCCAGTGTGAAACAAACCTTTCTGCACTGCAGAAAACTACAGCTGCAAATAGTTTGGGAGAAGAACGCCCACTTGGAGAAATCAAAGAAGTTTCCCCCAAATTAACCAACTAGAAAACAGATCCGTCCAGAGCCAATTGAAAAATCATTCGAAGATGAATTTGAATAAACATAAAGTGAGCTGCTCTGGTTAGCACTGCAGCTTCACAGAGAAGATGCGTCAAGTGTTTGCTGTGGAGTTGGCATGTTCTCCTCGTGCTACCCTGGGTTTTCTCCGGGTGCTCCGGTTACACCCACACATCTAGAAACATGTAGGGCAGCTCAATGTAAATCACTGCCAAAGAGTTCAAGACACTGCAAGAGTTGCTTGAAAAAATTCCTCTTTCTCTCTTAAATAATTAATGTTAACATTATATAGATTTATATGTATCTAGATATAGATAAATATAGATAGATCTATCGAGATAGATAGGTATATTTATATATGTTTATATACTTTATATATATGTATACTTATATATATATATATAATAATAAATAAATAATAATTCCCTTCTCACCCACCGCGGGTGGTTCTTATCCTCTGAGCTCGGGTCCTCTACCAGAGGCCTGGGAGCTTGAGGGTTCTGCGCAGTATCTTGGCTGTGCCAAGGACTGCACATTTCTGGACTGAGATGTCTGATGTTGTTCCTGGGATCTGTTGTAGCCACTGCTCCAGTTTGGGGGTTACTGCCCCGAGGGCCCCGATGACCACAGGCACCACTGTGGTCTTCACCTTCCAGGCCCTCTCCAGTTCCTCCCTGAGGCCCTGGTATTTCTCTAGTTTCTCGTGCTCCTTTTTCCTGATGTTGCAATCACTTGGTATTGCTACATCTACCACAACGGCTTTCCTCTGATGTTTATCCACTACGACAATGTCTGGTTGGTTCGCCATTACCATTTTGTCTGTCTGGATCTGGAAGTCCCACAGGATCTTAGCTCTGGCGTTCTCCACCACCTTTGGGGGTGTTTCCCACTTTGATCTTGGGGTTTCCAGTCCATATTCTGCACAGATGTTTCTGTACACTATGCCTGCCACTTGGTTATGTCGCTCCATGTACGCTTTCCCTGCCAGTATCTTGCACCCTGCTGTGATGTGCTGGACTGTCTCAGGGGCCTCCTTGCACAACCTACACCTTGGGTCTTGTCTGGTGTGGTAGATCTGGGCCTCTATTGCTCTGGTGTTTAGGGCCTGTTCCTGGGCTGCCAGGATGAGGGCCTCTGTGCTGTCCTTGAGTCCAGCTTTTTCCAGCCATTGGTAGGATTTACTGATATCAGCCACTTGGGTTATTTGCTGGTGGTACATCCCATGTAGGGGCTTGTCCTCCCATGATGGTATCTCTGGCACCTCAACCTCCGTTCCCTGTTGTCTGAGACATTCACTGAGCACATTGTCTGTTGAGGCTTTGTCCCTGATGTATTTATGGATCTTAGTTGTTTCGTCCTGGACAGTGGTTCTCACACTCACTAGTCCTCTGCCTCCTTCCTTGCGGCTTGTGTACAGTCTCAGGGTGCTGGATTTGGGATGGAACCCTCCATGCATTGTTAGTAGCTTTCTGGTCTGTATACTTATATATATATATATATACATATATATACATATGTATATATAGTCATATATATATACATATATATACATATGTATATATAGTCATATATGTATCTATAGATACATATATAAATATATATGTATACATATATGTATATACATAGCGAGAGCAATATATATATCACTCTATAGATAGAGATATCTATGTCTCTATCTATATAGATAGATATCTCTAGAGATAAGAGATATCTCTATCTATATAGAGCGATATAGATTTCTCTGTATCGCTCTATATCTCTAGAGATATCTATGTCTCTATTTATATAGAGATATATAGATAGATATAATTTGTTTATTCAACTGTACATCTTTGCAAAGCAGTAGAGCCTCCTGCATGGGCAACAAGAATGCAGCAAGTGTTTTAAGTCAACAACAACACATTTGTCTTTTCCAGCAGCCATTGTACAATGCATACAGCAGTAAAAACTGCTGACCATATGTGTTGGAGCTCAGCTGGGGTTGCTGGGTGAGGAATAGTGACCTGCTGATTAGTGACATTATATTTGGAAATGGCTCGTTTTCCAGTCATCCAAAACCATTTCCTCACATCACTAAAACATCTGGGTGTTCTTTTTCTGTGCCTGGTTTTTGGACAGAGTAGAAACTCAATCTGAAATACAATTACAACTTTTTCATTAATGTTAAAAAAATATTGGTTTAAAACAAGCTCCTATGTTTTGCTTAAGTTACTTTTAAGTTATTTTTGTCTTAATTCAAGATATTTGCATCAGAAACTCAACACAAATTATTGGTAAGATTGTCTGTTTTTGCAGTGAAACTTATCCTCTTTCCTATATATTTTTGCTTTTTGGAATATTTAATAAAAATCTGGCAGCATAACAAGGAGTTTTTTTTATCAATATAAAAGAATTATTGACTTAAAACAAACCCCTACATTATGCTGAAAAGTTATTTTGGTGAGTTGCTGGGTTTTTAAAAGCAGTAGAAACCCAAATGGAAGTACAAAAATCACAGTTATTCATCAGTAATCATAAATTATTAGCTTAAAACAAGCTGTTATGTCTTGATGAAATGTCACTTTTAAGTTATTTTTGTCCTTATTTATCAGAAACGGGGAAATTTTCTTGGTAACATTTTGTTTTTGCAGTGAAGGTACCTCAACTTCCTCTATGTAATTTTCATTGCTTGTTAGATCATTTGGATGATGAATATTTAAGTAAATGAGATTTGTGAGCAGATTCTCTCTGGACACGCTGCAGGTCCGTTTGCGGTGGGACTTCCTGCCTGTCTGGACCCGAACACACAAACCGCCCAACAGGCGCCGCAGTGTTTGCTCTACACTGGAAACACTCTCCAACTATCAAGTTTTTCTTTCCTTTCTTGCTTTGTTAGGCTCGGGGTGAAAGTTCAGTGGTGGAAAAAAGGGCTGGGGTCACGCGGATCGATTTGGCCCTGTGACACCGGCCCGGGTCGCGGGGGTGGTATTTGCAGCAGAATGACCTCTCAGACACTGTTGCATTTTCGCAGGGGGGCTCGGGTTACCCGACCGGGAGCTAACGGGCTTCCGACCCGCGCAGAGCTGTCAGCCGATACCTGCAGAAAGGTCAGGAAGCTGGAAAAGTCCTGGCTGGTTATCTGCTCACCTGCAGATGCATCCAGATTATTCATTTTTAATCATTAAATGCTTACATGAATCCAATTAAATAAAAAAAATCATGTAAACTGTTCAGTTTACATTTCAATTAAGAAAAACAAGCCCTAAAAAGTTACTAATTAGTTTTTGTCTTATTTCAACTATGCTAAGATATTCGTACTGGAAACCAGACCAAATACACTTGGTAAGATATTTTTTTTTAAAAGCGCTGTAAACCAAATTAATCAACCAATTCACCAAAGTGTCAGAAACACACCCTCCTGTACTGAAGAAGAACCCGGATTTAACCCATTTCAGTCAAAAAACAAATTTTAAAAAATGTTTTTATTATAGTTTTGAATTTGTTTGAATCAGATTGATAAGCAGACAGGCACAATAAGTGACTGCATAAACAGGATGGCTTTTCAATTTTTTTAAATTTCAGTTTCTACAGTAACATCTGAATTATAGATGCTTTGCTTCCATCTTACTACAAACTTCAAAACATAGATATAAGTTTACATAAACATTTTTGGCGATGAATTCTAGTGAGAAATATCAGTATAGTGGATTTAGTTTTATGAAAGCAGCACAGAAGTGCAGCTGTTTCATTAAAAGGCGAGTAAAACCCCCAAACACAGAACCCCCTGCTGAGAGTGATCGGGATTATCGGGTCAATGCTGCCCTCATGTGGTCAAATCAGGGAGTGTTTTCACTTCCCCCCTGGTTTAAAACTACTACAAACTACTCTAATTAACAACCACACCACATTTATTCATTCCTACACAAATTAATTTATTTATTAATGAGCTGAAAGGCTCTACAAATAAGTACATGGTGTTTCTGAACATTTTAAGTTTTTAATGACTTATTGGTGAACAAACTATTTTATTTGCGTTTCTTATTTAATTATAACAAGCAATAACAAAAAAGCCCTTAATTAATATCCTGTTATTCTGGTAATTTGGACATTTTTGGCGCAGTAATTTGACCTGAGAACTTCAGATAACTTGTGTCCTGAAGACTCTGGACTTGACTTGGACTCCCGCTGTGAAACTCGAGTCCTAGAAACATTATTTATCTGGTAATAAAGAGTTAAAGACGCTGTTATGTGAGCTGCAGACTGCAGCTGCTGCAGACTGTTTTACTGTGAAAGAATTAGCTTGATTATTTTCTATTGATAATAGTGGGTTATTATGGGATGTTAACTCTTTACAATAATCTGTTCATGTTTGTTATAACTTCATAATAATGTCTCTCCTACTGAAAACCGTTTAAATTACTTTGGATAATTTCAGGACAAAATAAAACGTAATTAACAGGCTGTTGCTGCTAAGCGAGCTTCAACAGCACAAGACCACGTCCGGTTGATCATTTCAAAATAAAAGTACTTCCTGTTCCACTACTCTTGCTAACATTTCTGAAGGTTCACCATTTTATTTGTTTATTTTATTAAGAAAAACATAAAACTGTTAGAGAAAGAAGTAATGAGGATGAATACATTGTCTGCATTTGCTACCATTTCTGCATTTTTTATGTTTTTAACCAAACAGCCATTTGTTTCTCCCAAACTGCAGGTTACACATGTAAACAGTGTTTCATTCTTAGATTTATGTCTTAATCTGGGGTAATAAATATCAAGATTTATTCAGTTTTTAAAGACAATAAGAAACATGTGTAATATACAAACACTATTGTACAATATTATTACTTGGCAGCCAGAAAGAGCAGCTTTAACACTTTCATGCAGAAATACTTCTGGGATATGAACCTTCTTCCTTTAGAGCAATAAGTCCTGGATTTTAATTCATTGTAGCATCTGAGCATCTCCTGCTTGTGATTTTCTTGCTTTGACACCCGGAACGTGTTTATATGTTTCTGATTTATGGAGGATTTCGGGGAAAACTCCCCAGGGGGGGAATTGATTCCTGGGGAAAACTGAACATAATCTCATCACATTCCTCCTCCTTTTGATCACTTTCTCCTCGTCCAGGAATCTCACATGGAATACATATAACTGTGCAGAAATTATCACGGTAATAATTTTCCTGCCACCAGATGGCATTCAAAGGAAACGCTGAGCGTGGGAGGAAGAAAATCACTGGGAGGTGTTCCTCAAAAGAGGAGGAGAGAAGGGGGGGAAAAACCCAGAGAGGGACAGCAGAGAAAATGGACCGAGAGCTTTCCGTACAGACGCATGTGGTCAGGAATGTTTCCATCCCTGCTTCTCAAAGTAAAGCCTCTTCCTCCGCTCTCTGTCTCTTTCCCGTTTCTTTGGCATGAACGGCTCCTCTGTTTGCGTTTGCAGTGACTTTCTCCAGCCGGGATCTGGACAGATGTGGAACGTTCTCTCAGCGCCAGAGGAAGCCGGATAGATCAGCCTGGAAGCAGACGGCTGCAGCCGCCAACCCAACAGAGTGAGTTTTACAAACATGCACCGCAAAAAACACTAAATACTAAAATGTACTTTGGGTCTAGTTTCAACTGAAAACATCTCAGTTTAAATGAGACAAAACTAACTTAAAAGTAACTTTTCAGCAAGAAATAGGAGCTTGTTCTAATCAATAATTTCTCAATATTAATGGAAAATTAAAATTAGACTCATTAGAAGATTATTTCACTTATATTGGATTAATATGTTTTATTAAAAGTGAACAAATCTGCAAGCGTAATTAGTAATTTTTCAACAAACTCCTACATCTTGCAGAAAAGTTACATAAGTTAGTTTTGTCTTATTTCAAGTGTAGTAAGATATTTGCACTAAACTAGACTTGGTGTTTTTGGAGAGTAGAATGGAGAAAAGGTTTCTTACATTGGAAAAATACAACATCTTTCCACGTATTTTTGATCTGGTTTCTAGTGCAAATATCCCAGTACAATAGAAATATGATAAAACTAACCTAGAAGTAACTTTTCAGCAAGATGTAGAAACTTCTTTTAAGTCAGTGAATTATGTTTTAAAAGTTTAGTTGCACTGGTCGATTATTCCATTTATAACAAAACATTTTCCCACAATCTGCCAGTGAAACTCGTACTTTTAAATCAATATTAAGGATTATTGACTTAAAAGAAACCATTGTATCTGACTAAAAAGTTACATAAGTTAGTTTTGTCTTATTTCAAGTGAACTAAGATATTTGCAGTGAACTAGACCAAAATTATCACATCTGTTGGTTTCAAATTGATTTTTGTGGGTTTGGATTAGAAGAGGTTAGAGAATAGTTTAACTGCACAAATGCATCATTTTTTACTCTAACTGCAGTAAAAAGAGTTGCTTTTATTCTGTAAACATTGATGAAAGTACCGTCAGAGCTTCATGTGATTTAGGAAACAGGACTGTTCTTTATAAAAGAATTATAAAACCTTAAAAGTGGAAATAAATGTAAGGTTTCAGTCTCACTAATTTGCAGACACTGTCACTGGTTCCTCTACTGATTCATCTGAGTGTTTTTTCTGCAGGAATGAGTCAAAAGTCAAAGTTACATAACTAAACAAAAACAAACCACATGGTCATGAACAAGAACTGTGGTGAAAATGAGTGAAAATCTGAGAAAATCCAAAGGAAACCAGGGAAAAATACTCAGAAAATACGTTTTATCAGGAATCAGTTCGGAAAAAGAACTGGTTCAGAGTTGAACTTCAGTTTAGATTCAAGAATCTGTTCAAAGTTGTAAAAGAATAAAATAATTGCTTTTGAGACAATAAATGGTTCAGGAATCAGTTTCAGAATCAAGAATCTGTTCAGAGCAGTAGTTTGTTCAGAACCAAGAATCGGTTCAAAATGTGATGCAGAAGTCATTCACTGATTTTGGGTCTGAACCAAAGGATGAAATTGGGCCAGAAAGAAAATGTGATCATCATCATCACTTTACGAAAGGTTCTTTTGAACACTGATGAATCAACTAAAACTCTGCAACGGAAACGCTAATGTTTGCATCCCACAGTCACAACAACTGGATGTTACTGCTGGACGAAACAACAAAGAAGAAAACAGGAAGTAGGAAGTCGGTGTGGGATGTTTATTAACTTATCCAGGACTAATTTTAATTGCATTTCTCATTCGATGAAAATACCGCAATTACAAAATGGCAGTTTTTTTCTCGACATCAGCGACATGTGGTCACGTATTTTGTAAACAGTTGTCACAGAAACGCAGCGATTGACACCAGCGTGGCGGTGATGGATTGGTGTGAAGACGGATGAGAAACGGTGGAGCGGAGGTGCTGAGAAGGAGAAAGAGTACAGGAGGATTAGGGTGGGTGACTGCGGCGTAGCATGATGTCACAGGAATGCATGGAGCCTCGCCTTTAACAAGCCGAGAGCGTGTGGAGAGCCGGCCACATCACGGCCTAATTAACTCTTTACTCCTCTGCGTCTGATGTTCCACTAATCTGTACCAGCCTGGAAAACGTCGGTTTCTTTAAAACTGAACCGGTGCGAAGTGGAACAAATGAATCTCACTAAAACATGGACGGTTGGCATCTGTTTGGTGGAGTCAGACGGAAAGGAAAGATGATGATGATGATGGCAGAGACAGCAGGAACAGATGCAGAGAGAAGGATAATGACTGACATGGTGTGTGGGAAAGCTCGGCCCCAGCAGCAGCTGGAGAGACGATGACTAACATCAACAGTGAGGTAAGATGGCTGCATGGAGGGCAGCTGCTCCTGTAAACCAGCCTCGCTGAGGTCACCCTTATTTATGGAGGACGCATCATGCCTCCAGATCTGGGAATTAGATGACAAGCTTCAATTTAGCCTCAAGTCAGGCATTTCACTTCCTTCTTAACCCCTTCGGCTAAAACTCCTCTCTGTCAGTCGTCTGAGAAAACGATCTCGTTGAAAGCTAACTGTAAATTTTCTGGACGATGGTTTGACTGCCCGTCAAACATTGTCTGATTTTCACAGTGCAGGAGGAAGCTCTAGTTCTCACAAGTTCTTCAAACTCAATAATCAAGCCTCAATCTCAGAACTAGCGCTCCCCTCAATCCAAATAATCTGCCGCTGACCTCGACCCCCCAACTCAGCATTTACACTCACATGTGAAAACGGCCACAGATGCATAATTATACAACCCTGAATCTTTGAAAAGCAGAAGTAGAGCCCTCTGCGCAACCAACAAGGATGCAGCAAATGGTTTAAGTCAACAAAAAAACACTTGTCTTTTCCTGTATTCAGCAGTAAAACCAGCTGACCAAACATGCTGGAGCTACACTTGGATGGTCAGTTAACAGCAGAATGCCTGTTGAATATGACTCAATGTTCAGGAAGTTTTTGAAACGGTTCATTGTCCAGACACTGAGACAATTAAGTTATTGCCAATAATTGATTAGATGTTTTTGTCTAAGTACTGTTTTTGTTTTTCAGAAACAGTAGAGAGTTGAATAGAAGCATAAAAACGTAAAAATGTAAATTTTACATCATAGGTCTCCTTTAACACATCGGTCAAAGAATGCATCATAAAGTGGAAAAAACAAATGAGTCGCAGGAATAAAAAAATAAAACTAGGAATAAAACTTTGTCTTGTTGTCATGTTAACGTTGAAAATGACAAAACTAAGAAAGCAATTTAAGTTTGTTAAAATGATAAAGTGGTTCAGAAAATGCTGCAATAAAAGCACAGAAAGCAAAAGCTCTTACTTTGATATTCCAAGTGGTTTCTGAACCAACAGTTGCTCATATTTTTAAGAAGCTCTAAAGAAACCTAATTTCAGCTGACTGTGTCCAAGATTTCATCATAGACTGGAGCTTTGTTATTGTAGATGTATCTCCTCTATCCTTCCGTTCTAAAGATGGCCATAAACTCGAACGCCTCCTCTTGAGGCAGAAACCCGTCCCAGACCTGAAGGCAGCATTCCTCTGCTTTTCCAGTTGGGAGCCATGGAGACTGACAGGAACTAGCCAAGGCACCAAGAAAACGTCGGTATATTTAAACTCTTCCTCTTTGTCTTCTTGGTGACATTTCTTAGACGTTGTTAACGTGTTCAGGATCTGGAATGTGTGTAAACTGGACTCCTGGTCTTCATGGGGTCTGGGGACCACAGCATGATGTCAGCATTTGAACATACAGTTTTATTAGGGATGAGATGAAAAACCAATCATGGTCGGTTTTATTCCTATTTTACTTTCCTTGTTGGAGTTACAAGAACTGTTGTGTTTTTGGAGCACAGTCAAAGTTCTCGGTCCAGCCACGCCCCTCTAGTAATCATGAAAAGTCAGGATTTTGATAACTTTATATCCTCCATGCCTCAGAAGCCAACGCAACAATTTTCAAGTCCATCAGTCAAAACCTCTATGAGGAGTTTGATCGATACAGAAGCTAAAATTAACCAAAACATGCTCAAAATCGCAGTATGGCAGACTTCCTGTTTCTTCTAGAGCATGAGTGTAGGAGACTTTTGTGTAGGTCTTGGGAAGTTCTACACCAAATTGTACCAAAATTTATGCCTCTACAATAAACTAAGCTTAATGATGAGGGTGTATTGGACGTTGGCGGTGGAGGGCGCTATTGAGCTACTTCTCAAGGAACTTTTGCAGAGATGCAACTTTAGCAGCGCGCTAGCTGATTGGCTGCTTTCAAAATCCCAGCCAATAGGATATCAAGTAGCATTTCAGCTTTTTTTGCTTTGAAAATGTAAGATATGCTCATAAAAAGGCCAAAAAGTTGACTATAGGTCAGTTTTGTCTGACTTTAAGTGCACTGCAATGTTTCTACTAGAAGCTCAACCAAAGAAACTTGGTAAGATTTGGTGTTTTTGCTGTGGATGGGCCTTTTCTGGCCAAAACTTGCTACTCTAAAAGTCTATTGGCAGACCTAAATCCTGTCGCCATGTTGAAATTAGAAACAACAAGTCAAAGTTTTACATTGTTCTGCCAGAAACATTAACATTTAACGTTCAAACCAGGAACTGTAGAGTCTGGCATGGAAATGTTTGGTTTTATTCTAATTTCTCTGACATTAGGGTGAAATTTCTGGCTTGTCACTTTTTTTGTTTCAGCTGTTCAGTGAAGGCATCATGATGTGAAGTTAAACTTGCTTTGAGATATTTTTGATGTGTTTTGACACTCCACTATCCACTCAAAAGAGATAAATGTTATTGTTATTAAAGAACTTTAAATGAACTTTTTATGCATCAGAAGAGAAAACATACATGAAACTTGAAAACATCAGATCATCCTAAAGAGTCAAGAAAAGTTGGATAAACAGCAAGCCTGGAAAGTTCTCCACGAAGAAAAAGAGAGTATGGAAAAGTAAGCATTGCTTTTCCACTTTTCCGCTCGCTCTTCCTGAATGAAGCCTGTGTTTTAGTTAATGTGGCTGGCTGATGTGCAGCGTGGCACACCAGCTCATGCCAGCGGCAGCAACTCGGCCTGGTCTCCATTAAAATCAAATAAGTGGCTCAATTATGTGTGCATGTGTGTGTGCGTGTGTGAAATGAAGGGCCTGAGCTGGATGAGAAATAAAAAAACAGAAATGTTCAGCTGGAGCTTCGCGTCCACATGTTGTAAAGTTCAGCCTGGAAGCTGCTGCAGGTTACAAAAAGCTCCTTTCTTACATTTTTGAAGGGCAAATGTAATGTAAAATTCACATTTTTCAGCTTTTATGTTGTTCCCTTTGGGTCTGCTTCTCAAAACAACAAAAGTGCTTAAAAAGAAACACCTGGATGTTTTTTGGTGTCTGGAAAACGAGTAGTTTGAAAAACCTCCTGAATGTAAAGTCATAAACCAGCAGGAACTTCCCCTCACCAAACCCAACCTGTTACCTCGCAACCCGAGCAGAACTCCTCACATCACCCAAAGCTGGTCTCCAGCATGTTTGGTCAGCTGGTTTTAACGCTTAATCCTCTGTACAATGGCTGCTAGACAAGACAGGTGTTCTGTTGTTGATTTACCATTCTTGAACATTTCTAAGGGTTTTGTATCAAATTTTGTAGAATTTTCAAAAAAAATTTACTTTTGGATTTTCACACAAAAAAAATCTGAAAATTTTAGATTGATCTCAGAAATGTTATTGAAAAAACCATAGAAATTGGCTGCTAAGTTTTAAGTTACATTAAAACTTAGCAGCTTTTTAATTTCCGTGTCCATGATGAATCTAAAGTTCTCTTTGTAGCACATTTTGGTCTTTTCTGAGTTTTTTTGGTAGAAAATTCTGCTTTTTTCTCGCAGGTTTTTTACTTTTGGAGCTTTCTTTTCTTTATTTGTAAAGATTTTTAAAATGAGTTTTTCATGTTTTTGCAGTTTCCAGCCGGTGAAGATGTAGTCAGCGCGGTTTCCATGGAGATGCCTCCAAACGCGGCGCGCTCTGCCTGGTTGCCATGGTCGCTGTGGTTGATGTTGGCGTTGACCTTTGACTGCCAGCCGATGCTCTCCGCCCCTGAAGCGGCGAACGTCACGCTGCTGTTCGACAGCGGCGCCGGCCTGCGGACCTGCAGCTGCCCGGCTCCGGTCCCGGACTGCGACGCGGCCCAGGCCGACTCCCGGTGCCGCTGCGGCACCGTGCCGCGGTCGGGCCTGCACCGCGCCAGCCTCGGGCGGAGCGTGGCGGTGTGGGTGAGGGAGCTGTGGGTGCTGGAGGAGCTGCTCAACAGCAGCACCGTCGCTCATCTGCGGCTGTCGTTCTGCGGCGTGGAGCCGCTGCAGAGCCGGCAGCTGGTTCTGCTCGGGCTGCGGACCCTCAGCGTTCACAGCGCCGCCCCAGGAGCGCCGTACCCCGACCAGGAAGTCAGGGTTTCGCCATCGGTCGGGGCGGCGCCGGAGCCGGACTCCTCCGCTTCCCACCACATGAGCTTCGTCGACATCGGCGTGCTGAACGGACTGTCGGCTCTGAAGGCGTACAGCGTCATCGGACCCCCGCTTCACACCTTCTCCCAGTTCTTCCCACACCTGGTTTTCCCACTGGAGTCCAAGGAAAACTCCTCAGAACCGTCACAGCAGACGCTCGTCACGTTCGTGTACTGAAGGAGCAGAATATTACAGAGAAAATATTTCATATGTGGATACAAGTACAAACATTAGCGTTAGCATAGCTAATCATCTTTTTAGCGAATTAGAGGTTTGTGAACCTAACGTTTTCGATAGCTCTGCCCGCTACTGGAAAAAACTACTGATGATTTTAGTGCAAACATTTTCTCCATGGCGGCCATTTTGAAAACTGTCCACCAGAAAAACAAAGCACAAGATTAAGAAAATATAAATGATTTCAAATGTTTCAATTTGGCACCAAATATATTTATCTAATTGGCAGTTTTATTGCAAACATTAATTTTCCATGACAACCTTGGTAGCCATTTTGTAAAATAAAAAATGTTAGAAAATGTGATTTCTATGGGTCCATTTGTGCATGGTTTCACACCAAAATTATTTATCTGTGATAAATATCGACAAATTTAGTGCAAAAGTACATTTTCATTGATGACAATGATGGTGGCCATTTTGAATTTTGTGCCCAGTTTGGTTCTTGTATCCACATGTGAAAGATTTTTCTAAAGTGTTCAGTTCTCTGCTGCACTATAAAAAGTTCTCATCTACAGACTGTAAAAAAGGAAAGTTACGCTGCAGCTGCTGAAAGATGTAGATAAGAGGTTAGAATATTTTTTATTTTCTGTCAGTTAGTAGAAATTTCTCACCAGTCATTGGGCTTTTATTGTTTTATTGCAATTTTCTACATAAATTCATCCTTTTTTTAAGATTTACTGAGAAACATAACTTCTGTTAATTCCAGCTTGACCATATATTCAGTAGTTTTCAGTTTTTTATTTACCTTCCATAATGTATTAACCTTAAAGCTCAATTCAAATCCTTATCCGGTGCTTTGCATACATGATCAACATGAAGCTAATTTTACTGCAGAGAATGTTGTCAAATCTGTTTTTTATTGATCACATGCATCCCATCCTGCACAAATTCTGAAAAACAATTTAGCAGAAATATAAATTCATCTGCTTGTGAAGCTTTAGTCGATTTTTTGCTCTATATTTTGAAACATTTGCACACGTTTTTTGCTGCTGTGGCTGGATGACATAATTTTACTAGAGGTGTACAATATTTTATATTTTGGTTGAATACTAACTAAATACGGAAACAGCATCATTAATACTGATACTTTAGGCATTTTTGTGGATTTTTCCTTTTAATTATTTAGTTCTAACTGTACAAAATACTCTGATATTAACACGATAAATAGAATAAATTTGTTAAAAGTGCCATCATTAATAAATACCAACATGGTGGCCAATTTTCCATTAATTTATTTTAAAAGCAACTCTATTAACAGTAAGTTTAATCTAGATTTGAAGGAACTCTGTGTTTTGGCTGTTTCGTTTGTAAACCAACAGACCTGTAACTTTACTAAACACATGGATAAGTTTCTCTCCATCTTATCCGTCCTTTAAATCTTGAAATGTTCTTCAGGTGACAGAAGGCCGATTTTGTAACCGTCTTTGTGTCTCAGAAGGTTCAGGTCCATTTTAATATAACTTTTTGGTTTCATTTGCTCCACTTTTAAATCTTAATTCTGTGCTTTTTCACACCTCACCCATTCACCACTGCATGTAGTGGATGAATGGATAATTTATTAGTTCCCTGATTCCTCAGTTTGTTTGGTTTCCTGAAACCAGTTAATCTTTTCAATCTGTTCAAGTCAAATCCACTATAGATGTTTTGATTTTTGTTTATTTTTGTCACATCCTGTTTCCTGTTTCTATTCAGGATCTTTGTTTTTCCTTATAGTGTAATAAAGTCAGTTTGCTTATCTATTCGCCTTTGGATCATTTCTGCTACAAAATGTTGCCAATTTTTCTCACCAAAAGAAAATAGTTGGAGACAATTAAGTCTGGAGTTTCATTTTTCTGTGTTTCAGTGAATGCAGCATTATTTAAAATCAAAGTCAAAAGACTATAAAAATTAATCGCCGAGACTATTTTCCAAAAAATAATAATGGAAAATTTATATTTGGCATTTTCTGAATAGTAAATTGCAAAACATGTCATAAAAAGTTTGTAATTATTATAAGAGATCTGAAGACATCAAAACAAATGGAGAAAATTAAGTTTGAAGATTCATTTTTCCGTGTTTCAGTGAATGCAGCATGATTTTTGTTACTGTTTCAACTCCAGATTTTGCATTTTTTGCAATATATAAATAAAAAGTTGTGCTAATTTCAAAGAGGCTGGACAGTTTTCTAAAAAATTTATGAACTGGGTAAATTAATTTTAAACATCTCACATAATTAGCTTGTACTGATTTTAATGCTGTGCAGTTTTTCTCTTCCATGCCAGTCAAAGGAAATGACCAAAACTCTGCTGATGTCGTGCTAATAAAGAATTAAGAGTTGTTGTTACGTAACATCTCTGCGGCCTGCGCTGCACCTGCTGATGAAAACACGATGTGCCGTGGCAGCTGAATGCCGCTGGAAAACCTCCAGTCTGAAAAATCCGCATTTATAGAGTGATTTACAGCGAACTCCTGCTGTGACATTCAGAGAAAGTCCTTCAGCAGGAAGATGAAGGAGGAACGGGACGGAGTGGAGCGACCGGCTCAGTGGGGTCACAGTGGGGTCACCGCTGCGTTTTTCCAGCTGGACGCACCGACTGCAGATGGCCTAATAAAACAAGTTGTTCTGAAACAGGTTGAATAAGAGTCTCAGGGTTTGGAGCCAGCAAATCCTCGACTCTCTGGATGAAAACAAGAACTGGGAAAAGAGCCGGATTGGTTTGGATTAGAGCGACTGGAGTTCAGTGGTGGAGGAGCGGGAAGAGACAGAAAAGTCTTTGTTTGAAAAGTGACTTTGGATCAGGATTTCACTGTTTGGCTTGCAGCTCATTTCCTGTGAGAGAGGCTGCTGACAAACAGGAGCCAGAGCTGTGCAGCGTCACCGCAGATGATCGGAGCTCTGACTCAGCCTGGAGGAGCCATGAACGACAAAACCTCTGCAGAGACTCAAAGCAGCTTTCTATGAAAGGCCTGCAGGCAGGAACACAAACATCTGGCCTCACACATGCAGTCGCCTCTTCTTAAAGGGCCAATGCAGCTATTTTCATGTCAGAATGTTGAGTTTTAGAAGCACCGAAGGGAAGTGATGAGGATGTTCAAAGACAGGAGTCAGAGACGGTTGGTTGGATGGAAAACACTTCAGACGAATAATGAGGACGTTGTTCAAGAGGAGAAAGTTGTTTGGTTGGTTGGTTGGTTGGTTGGTTGGTTGGTCGGTCGGTCGGTCGGTCGGTCAGTAGGTTGGTTGGTCCATTAGTTGCTCAGTTGTTTAGTTGGTTGGTAAGCTTCCAAACAAACCATGGTCTAACCCATCGCACTGCCCCCACCTGTTGCCTGTTCCACTGATTCCATGTCCTTTTCTTGTGAAACATACAGACGGTCTGAACATCGCCAGACGATGTTCCTTCTCCATGGTCCAAGGAGCCATAACCTCACCTCTTGTTCTCCAGTTCCTTTTTTGGACTGCCATTGGCGGACCATGGCCGCCTGCGGACCGGGACCATGGCGTTGCTCCACATGTGGAGATGCTTTGACTATGCCATGCTGCTGTTTTAAACGTCCCACCCACTGAGACGGAGACGGTTTACCTGCCTGTGGTCAGGACTTTACTATCTAATAAAAGTTTATTTCGTCAGGAAGTGAATTATCTACACTGAAAAATGTTCATGTTGCAACACGCTGTTTAATGACCAGTAACAATGGAGCTGCTGTGAGTTTTCCTTCAGCTTTCCAACAAACAGTCGTTTCTGTTTGTTGGACGTTAAAATTCCCTCATCGCTTGTTCTCCATCTGATTCACATGACATTGTCTAAAAATAGATCCTGCAGAGCTGTTGGGTTTTCTTTATATAAACTCTGGACTTCTCAGCGCTGCGACTGTCTGCACTTCCACACACAAATGTTCAGTTTCACTTTGAGTCAACACAACATCTGTTCAGATCTTCACAAGATGCTTTTTTCTGCTTAAATGGAAACATGTTTGCTTGTGTAACAGAAAGTCCTACAAGCTGATCTGGTGCAGCTCATGTTGACTGTGTTTTGTTTGTGAAATGGGGCTGAAAGTATGCAGAACAGATACATTAACTTGTGATTAAATTAATGACGCTTTCCTTTCTCTGCTACAAAACTCTGAAAACAGATTTAAAAACAAACTTGGTTAAAAATGGTTAAAATTAACATTAGAAAGGCAAAATGTTCTAATTAAACTCCTTACTGATGAAAAGTTGCTATAAATTCAGGAAAACAAGTCATAATAATTTGCATTTTAAGGATATAGAAATTAACAGAGGAGGTAATGATTTGTACTGTTTTGTTGCGCCACCCAGAGGCAGAAGTGTGAACTGGTGGCATTAAATGGAAGAACTGATTTTTACCAGATTAGCTTATTTATTGTTTCATTTAAATGATTGACTAAAATTAACTTTAATTAAAAAAAACAACAACCTTTTAATGTTTTAATTTCTTTTGTGTTTTTATTATTTCCTTAGTCTTAGATTGTTATGTGTTTTAATTATTTTGGTGTCTTTTGTGATTCTTATGTCATTTATGATGTTTTAATTTAAATGTTCTAATATAAAACATTTTGTAACATTTGTATAAAAATGCCAAAGGCAATTGTTCTTAAATGTGTAAAAATAAGCTTTTTACTTTTTAGAAGGTTTTATTCTATTAAAACCTTCTGAAAAGGTTTTAATCATGTTCACTGCTTTTCTTCTTTTTAAACAGAATAATTCTTAGATTATCACATTAAATATAATAATGTTTGCCTGTTTTTTTTTGGAGCCTCTTGTCTCTTTAAATCCACATTTAGCTGCTGCTTACTTCACCTTTCCAGCAGCCATTTTGAGCGCATAAAGTGTCGCTTTGGTTGCTAGGTAACGTTAGAACTCTACCCGGGTTGCTAGGTAACATTAGAACTCTGCCTTGGTTGCTAAGTAACCTAAGAACTCTGCCTGGGTTGCTAGGTAACGGTGTTCCTCAATTTGAAACAAATGGAAGGATAAAAATGTGCAGGATGTGAATTTTGAACAGCAGGTCCCGTTGAAAAACTTCCTGTTTTCTTCTGGGTGAAAATCTTCTCCCTTCAGAAACATTTAGTTCCTGTTTCACATTAAACAAATCCATCTGCAGCTCACAGCTGTCATCATTCCCCTCAGCCAACTTCCTGTCCGCCGCAGAGGAGGACATCCAGAACAATAACACAACACAGAACAATAACACAACACAGAACAACAACACAACACAGAACAATAACACAACACAGAACAACAACACAACACAGAACAACAACACAACACAGAACAACAACACAGAACAACAACACAACACAGAACAATAACACAACACAGAACAATAACACAGAACAACAACACAACACAGAACATCAACACAACACAGAACATCAACACAACACAGAACAACAACACAACACAGAACAACAACACAACACAGAACAACACAACACAGAACAACAACACAACACAGAACAACAACACAACACAGAACAATAACACAACACAGAACAACAACACAACACAGAACAACAACACAACACAGAACAATAACACAACACAGAACAATAACACAACACAGAACAATAACACAACACAGAACAACAACACAGAACAACAACACAACACAGAACAACAACACAACACAGAACAATAACACAACACAGAACAATAACACAACACAGAACAATAACACAACACAGAACAACAACACAGAACAACAACACAACACAGAACATCAACACAACACAGAACAATAACACAACACAGAACAACAACACAACACAGAACAATAACACAGAACAACAACACAGAACATCAACACAACACAGAACAACAACACAGAACAACAACACAACACAGAACAACAACACAACACAGAACAACAACACAACACAGAACATCAACACAACACAGAACAATAACACAACACAGAACAACAACACAACACAGAACAACAACACAGAACATCAACACAACACAGAACAACAACACAACACAGAACAACAACACAGAACAACAACACAACACAGAACAATAACACAACACAGAACATCAACACAACACAGAACAACAACACAACACAGAACAACAACACAACACAGAACAACAACACAGAACAACAACACAACACAGAACAACAACACAACACAGAACAACAACACAACACAGAACAACAACACAGAACAACAACACAACACAGAACAATAACACAACAAAATTTCTTGGTTGTTTTTAAATAAAGTCAAGTTTCTGAGCTGTTTGGAACAAAGAGGTGGGTGAAAAAAGTTTTTGCTTTTGGTCTCCATCATGAAAAACGGATGAGAAAATGAATGAATTATCAAACATAAACTAACATCAATGTCTTAACATCACAGACAGGTTGGCTGCATGTTTGCATGATTTAGTGAAGTTTACCTAGAGCTCTGTTGTTCTTGAAGGAACGATCTCACTTTGCGGGTAAGAAATGTTTTATTTGTTTAGAAAATAAAACAGATTGTTTTCTTGTGTTGCCATAAAAACGGTGTAGGTCAAGGAAATAGAAAGACATCTTTAAATTTCTGCCAAAAAACTAAAATATTCTTAGATTAATATCAGCAATCTTCTTGAAAAATCCAGAAAATTTCAGAGCTTTAAAAGTCAAAAATTGGATAGGAATCCAATTTTGGAAATTCAGAAAATTTCCAAAATCTTTCACATTTTCTGAAATTAATCTCAAAATTTCTTAATTTTTTTCTCGCTAAGTTTTGATTCTTGGAAATCAGAAACCTTTGTTTTTTATTTTTTATTTATTTATTTATTTACTCATATTTTTCTTCGTAACATGCTTTAGCTGGATTAATCGGACACTGAAAATGAAAATGAAACATTTGCTAATCATATTTTTATTTAAATGTCAACCTGTAATATTTTACTCTTTAGACTTGTTCATATAAAGCATTAATCTCTTTAAAAAAGATTTAACTTAAGTTAACTTATTTCTGTGTTGTTGTGGCACATCTGCACAGAGGCTTCATGACCTCAAGAAGTTCCAAAATACTGAAAAAAACCCAAAAAACTCTGGAAATCAGTTTTGTTAATTAAAACCAACATAAACTGAAAAGATGTTTTGATTCTAGATTTTCAAAATAAAGTTCAAACATTCCTGTTTTTCTAAGATTGACTGATTTCTTTCAATCTTGGGAAACAAACGCTTTACTCCCGTCATTGAACAGCAGGGGGCGCACCAGCATTAAAAAAGGAAATCCTTCTTGTTATTCCAGCCTGCAGTGGACGGCTGCCGCCTCCAGGGGGCAGTAGAGGTCACAATGAAGAAACCTAATCAGTCCTGACCTCAAAAGGAAACCACAAAAATAAAATCTGTCACTTTGCCACGTGTTAAAAAAACAACAAACACTGAAAAAAAGATAAAGATTCACTTTCATTTTTGTGTGTTTGTTGTTTTCTAAATTTTTATTACATGTTACAAATATTTGCATGTATTTGATTCTATTTTTTATTATTTAAATAACTTTATAACCTCCTGGAAAATTATTGCAGACAAATTAAAATCTCCTTTTAAAAATAAATGTTTTTTATTTAAATATGTCCATAGAAAAAACACCAACCACATCATTCCAGTAATTATTTTCTTAGGTAAATTTATTTAATTAACTTAATAAACAAAGCAAGTTTTTTCAAAGAAACAGTCACACGTATGTTATTATTGTTGATGAAAAATAATAACAATTTGCAATCAGTTTGCATTTCATCTCAAAAAGCAAACATAAAAAGCCGTTTCTAAGTTTTGGGTCTGAAATATTTCTTCTGTTTCCTGTTAAATATCTGGCTATTTAAAGTCTTGCATTCTTAATTTATTGTTGAACATGTGAGTAAAATGTACAGAGCAAACTTTAATGATTAGTTTATTTTTCTAAAGTTATGTCATTATATTATTCTTGTTTTGCATTTTCAGTTAATGGCTTAAGATGAAGTTTATGGCGTTGGCTAATATTTAACACTTTATGTGACGAGTCATTAAACTTTATGAGCCAAAGAGTTAAACCTGTCATAACAAACCTGCTTATGGCCATAAATCTGCAAAACCTTTGGAATAAAATACCTAAAAAATACCTGAGATAAAATGCATTCATCGTAAAGCTAAATTAAAGAATCAAAGTTGTATATCAGTCATTATTTTCTGCGTTAGCTGAAAGATTATGGATGTAATGAAAAAGCAGTTTGAATATTAAAAAAAAACATTGATGTCATTTAGCACAATACAAATAAAAACAGATTTGATTGGCTGATAAAATAGTATCTAAGCAAATAACCGTCATCTTGAAGTTACATTTCTGTGGCCCTGAAATAGCTTTGGCGGACCGGATTTGGCCCGCAGGCCTTAGGTTTGTACACGTGTGATGTAGAGTGATACAATTAGGAGAACAAAGTCATAAAATTACCAGAATAAGGTTGTATATCAAGAGAAGTAATGTTTTAAATTATAATAGTAACATGAATCATTTCAAACTTTCAAATGATTGAGAGCGACAGTGTCTGTTTTAAAGACAAAATATCAGATCTGGCTAAATTGATCAAAGTATCAAAAAAACTTTTTACTTGTAATTTTACGACTTTGACCTGCTGATATGACTTGTCATGACTTTATTCTCCTAATTTAAACAATATCTTTATTGTATTGCCTTTAGAAGCAAAAACATCGCATTTCTATGATGTTATGTTAGTGCTGCAGGACTGAAGGACATGTCTGAGTTTAAAAGATTTCTTTAAAAAAAATCTCTAAAACTTTAAAATTAATCTTAAAAAAAGCCAGTGAAAACTTTGAAAGTTTCCAAAATTAAAACAAAATCAACTTTTCAAACAGAATTTTGTCAAAAGTTTATGAGACAGATCAATATATTTTTGAATTTTCAATTTCTCAAACTTTTCACATTTTTTCTAGAAAATTTCAGATGTTTTAAATTTATTTTGTTTTTGCATGGCTCTAACACTCTGTCCTACTTTTATATGCAGCACAAATAAACTAACAACACTTTAAAAGTTTTCTCTAAAGCTCATGAGGGCAGACTTTTATTCTGAAGGCTGATGTAACCTTTCACATCTGAAACGAGCTTTTATTCTGAAAGGGCTGGCCGGAAGCTCAGGTTTTCGTCACTCAGGAGCTCCAGTTGTTATTGAAGTAAGATTTCGTTTTTCTTTCTGAGATTTGTTGACTCGCTCCGTGGGAACACGTGACCTCCGTGGGTCGTTCCCAGTTTGAGTAGATATTTGACTCTCGGTTCCTTTTTAACTGGGAACCGGTTCTCCAGTCAACATGAGGGTAAAACATGAGGGTTAAAGTCTCTGCGAACTCTCGGACCGTTTTAAGCCCCAGGATGTGAAATCAGCTGCCGGCTCTAGTTGTGAACGTCTTCCCGATGACCGGATCTTGTCGGATCCCTGGAGAATGAACGCATTTCTTCTCATCTTCCTGATTCCTCTGCCCCCTCCAGGTGAGCAAAGCGCGTCATCCAGGTGGACCTCTCGTCTCCTTACCTTTACTCAGGTGTGTCTCCGCCGGTTCTCCGCAGCTGTCGCTTCCCTTCCGGCTCCAGTGAACGTCACAGTGGAGTCTCTGAACTTCCAGCACGTCCTGCGCTGGGATCCGGGCCCCGGCAGCCCGACCGGGACGCAGTTCTGGATCTATCGGAGGTGATTCATCCCACTTTCTTCAAACTTTCCTGTCATTTCCTCCCCAACATCTGAAACCGTTTTGCTCCCATTTTGCTTTGGCAACAACAAATATTATCCAACACACAGCGGGGTGCCGATCCGTTTTCAAAACAAGAATGCAGAAAATATGGAAGACAATTAGAGCCACTGAAAAAAACAGGAATTTAGATTTTTTTTTTATCTCAGAAGATTAAAGTCAAAATTCTGAGGAAAAAAATTCAATTCTGCGGAAAAAAAGTTAAAATTCTGAGAAAAAGTCAGAATTTTATTTTTTTAAAAACGTCGGAATTATGAGGAACAAAAGTCAGAATTCTGTGAAAAAAGTCAAATTCAATGAAAAGTCAGAATTATGTAGAAAAAAATCTGAATTCTGAGGAACAAAAGTCACATTTCTGCAACAAAAGGTCATATTCTACCAAACATCAGAATACTGAGGGGGAAAAGTTTTAAATTCTGCAAAAAAGTCAGAATTTTACTCAAAAATTTTTTAGAGTAATGTAATAATTCAGTTTTTTTCCCCAGTAGCTCCAATCCTCTTCCACAAGAGAAAAAAATTTCAGAATTAAAAAACAAAAATTCTGTTTTGTGGCTGAAACGATTAATCGGGATTAATCGTTTATTGATATAATTATCAACTAATTTAGTAATCGGTTAATCGTTAAATGAAAAATTCCGCTTAAAAAAAGATATTTACTAAAAAATTATGTTTCTTTTCTTAATTGAAAAAGAAATTGAATTGTTTATTTTTGTTTTTTAATGCATCTCTAATATTTTCCATTTCTTTATCCGATTAATCATCAGAATAGTCGATTAATCAGTTACTAAAACACTCATTAGTTGCAGCACTGTTCTCTTTATGTAACTTAAGCACGGTAGAGGACCTGTCATGGCTGGTTGCTGCGTCTATTCTTAGATATTGATCCGTTCTTTGGGAAAACTTGGAGGTAATTTGACTCTAACTGATTTCTAACTGACAGTTAAAATAGTCGGTCTTTGAGGAAATAAGTTTTTAAATCACCCAGTTGGAAAACACTGGACTATGTTTAAAAATAAGTTTTAATAATAACTTTAAATAACTATGAATTTAGAGTATTATAAAATATTTTAAAATTCACACCGGCTGTGTGTCATAAAGTGATCTCACGTTGAAGAAAAGGAGAAAATGTCTCATTAAAACCAGTTTTTGCAAAGTTCAGAGCAACGTTTCTCATTTTTATGGCTCTGATAATTGAAATATTCCTCAGACAGGTTTTGTAAAGTTGCATATTCTGCCTTGGGGAGTTTATTTTGCAGAACTGCAGGAAATTACAGGATTTGTGTGTTTAATGATATTTTCCGTCTCGTTAAAAAACTGACCGCCACAGATGGAAGTTTTTCTTCCCCAACATTTCTTCTTTGCTACAGGAAACGCCTCAGTGCTGACTTATTTCCTCTCAGAGCATCAACTAAAAACATTTCACCAAGCTCAAAGTCAAACAGAACCAGAACCAAACCTCAAATTCAGAGCTTATTTTTTTGCTATTGTTTTTTTCTTCATTGATCTAAACTCGCCGCAGTGATTCTGAGGGAGTTTCCACTGCCGTCTGCTGCTTTTTCACAAACGGACAGATTTCCTCTTTCTGCGAGAAACCTCGCAGACGTCTGAGCTCCTGTGAAATGAAGAAGAACCAGCTCAGCCTAATGCCAGAGTTGCCCAAAAAATAAATCCCCTGCCTCTTTGGCTTTACAGACGCTGCTGTGGTTAAAATAAAAATAACAATAATAATGTTGCAGGTGATTCCTGTAAGGAAACATTAAGCAGTTCATTTAAGGAAGTGGTGTGGGACTTTATATGTCTTCCTAACCGTAAAACCAGCTTCACATTCCTCCGTTATTCCAAGCAGTGCCCAGCCCGTCGCCTTGCAACCCAACAAGGAGCACCAACACATTTGGTCAGCTGATTTTACCGCCCATATTTGCACTAATTCAATCTGTTTGTAATCTTTTGTCAGATTGCTGCATATTCAAATGTTTTTACAAAAATAGAAAAATGTTATCCCATAAATTTTTAGATATTTATCTGAAAGACATCCGTACATTGACAGAAATTTATTGTTGACTCACCAACCTGAAAACACTCGCTGCATTCTTATTGGTTGTGAAGGAAGCTCTACTTCTGCTTGTCAAAGATGCGTGGCAGTATAATTGTGGATCTGTTTGTAGATATTTTCTAGTCCAAATGTAAACGCTGAGTTGGGGGTTGTGGCCAACAACGCCTTATTTGGGTTTTAAAGTGACAAGATTCCCTAAAATCTTATTATCTGAGAACGATTTTGTGCAAAAAATTGTAAACATGTTTTGTAAAGACGTAGAGCTATGCTAACCTTCTGAAGGGTTTTTAAAAATGATAAAACTGTTAAATTTGTATAGATTTATTCTTATTTTGATAAAGTCTTCGTAATATTTCACATTTTTAACGTATTTATAGCTATAAACAGCAGCACTTTGGGAGCCGTTTATGCGCTGTAGAAAGTTGCTGATTCGTGCTTTTTCTGCACTCAGTCCTTCTCTTTCATGGCACACTTTAAACAAATTATTATTATTTGCATGTTGTTTTTGCATCTCCCTCCGTCTCTGTTCGCTCCACGATTACCAGATTTTCGTAAAGAAGCTGGAGGCTCTCTGGGTTTGTAGTGTTTGTTTATTTTTTCCTTCATGGTTGAAAACTGCAGAAAATTTGGCCAAACAAATATTTTCATGTCCACACTGAACCCGGGATCGGTGCGGATTAAGCTTTAATCTTTAAGAGCTGCAGCATAAAATATCAGAATGCTGACGATTAATCTGTTAAACAACTGGATTGTTGTGGTTAATCTACAGCTCATGCACCACAACCACTACTGTTAGGGTTAAACACCTGTTGAAAATACTTTAACAAAGACAGAAAAGACAAAAGAGTCAGTATTCTTGCTACTCGCGAGGAGAACAGACAGAGATGTGCTTCAGTTACAATCTCCTATCGCTCTGAAGCACATTTGTCCACTCCTCTCTTTTTATTGTTTTCAGGACGCTGTAGCTCTAAAGGGAGGGAAACCAATTCATCACACGTCAATTCTCATTTACTAACTGATACACAAATTATCTTGCACAAGATAATCTCGTTCCGGACACAAAGTCTAACAGATTATGTAGTGAATCTTCACAATGGCAGTTTTGCAGCAGTCCAGCAACTCAACGAAGCAGAACTCCTGGTCAAGAGATAACACTTCAATAAAACACTGTCTCTGCTTTCAATCAGAGAGGCCTTCTGAGAAAGGAATCAGAGCAAATCAACAATATAGAAACATTCTTAAACCTATAATGAGATTGAACAATAAAAGTATAAAAGAAGATAATACTATAAGATTATATGAGAATAACGAATATTTGATTAATAATATAATTTCTCCAACAACTACAAATCCCAGAATGCTCTGCTGCATGTTATCCCGTCAGTTTGGACCCAGAAGCTCCTCTTCTGCTGGCATTCAGTCGTGGTTCTCCTCTATACTTGTTGCTTTGTGTGCAAAGCAACAACCATATGTGTTCCTAGATTATTATTATTATTATTATTATTAGTGTAACATAACTTCAGCTGTCCCTTTAATTGGTTTACCATTTAATTTCCTTTAAAAACTCAAATTTTCACTCATCAGGCCGAGTCAGCTTTCTGTCTCTTGGCTGCTAGATCTGGTTTCTGTTGCTTTATCTGATATAATCAGCACCTCAAATCTGTTTACGCCACGTTTGACTTCTGTCAAGCAAAATAACATTGAGCCATGCAGTTTCCACACGTCGCTTTAAATCAAACCTTCAGGACATTTTGTTCCTCTTTTATGGAGGGAATGAAGAAGTGAGACGTGAGCAGATGTTTTCTGCTCGTCTTATTTGAGTTTGTGGTTTGCAGTTCAAATTGTCAGGTTTCCAGGACGACCACATTTGACACATTTCCCAATTTTTGTCATTTTTTTAGAACATAAACAATATTTCCTAGTATTCTGTGGAATGAAAAGGATGTTTTTGTGTGTATTTCTCTGTAGGAGGAACAAAAATTGAAATGAAAGCTTCATCTGATAGTTAAGAGGAAAAAATCTCTAAGAAACTGGTTTTGTGCGTTTATGCAACTAAAACTTACTGAAAATGTAGATGTAATGTCTTTTGTTTTTGTGTTTATAAATTTATTCGTTAGTCTTTCAAACTACTGAGATTTTTTCCCCGAACAAGCAGTTTATGCCAGCTGTCGTTAAATCAAACTGCAGATATTGATTATAAAAATTAACACACATTTCATATAACATCTTTAAAAAAATGAATGAGTGGTTTTAAGTTGTTATTAAGAGGTTTTTCTGTGTTATTTTTCCCATTGCTGTTGCGCTAAATTAATAATACGAAATCTCCGGGTTTCATTTTGTTAACGTAAATATTCTACTGCATCGTTGGGCGCATGTGGTAAATTTCTGAACGTAAACAATGACATGCCTCTTGCGCGCCTATAACTAATAAAACCGAGCAAACACTCTCTTAAAAACCAAGACAATCAAACAACAAAATAAAACTGAGCTATAATGATGTGGATATTTTCTGCATTCACGTCAGAAAGTGAGTTTTTCTGTCCTCCATGTCGACCGCGACCTTCTAATCTGGTCACGTTTTCACTCAGATGAACATGCGGTTGACTGGAGCCTCTTTGATGGAACATCTGACGCATGGCGGTTGGTTTCTGACTCCCTCCCAGGCGTCCCTCCTGCAGCGAGCGCCGTTTCCATCCCGCAGCGCCTCGAGGGGCTGCTGCTGCCGCACAGAGCCCCGCTGCTCTCTGAAAGCGTCACCTGGCTGGGGTTTCGGTTTCAGGCCTCGCCCTCACAGGCGTCGCGCCCGTCTGTACATGTGATTCATTTTTACATGGAAATCATGATGAATGCGGCATTTCTAACGGGTTTTTTTTTGTTCTTCATCTCTAAGTGATCACTAAAACTATTCATTATTTTAATGATTAGAGACGTAGTTAATACTGTCTGGCCCTGCAGGGAAATACTGGAGCTGGGAGTTGGCCATATTTTAATACAATATCTGCGTGACCATCGTGCAAAAAATGGCATTTTCTGTATTTAACAGTTGTTTGTGTCATAGTTACCTAGAAATAACAGAAACTGAAATTGAGAAGACATTTTTGTTAACTGAATAGGTAAAAACTGTTTTTGTTATTTTTGTGATAATGATAAAAAGTGATAAGAACTATATAATGTTCCTTCTTTAGGTAACTTTATGCTTGTAGGTTTGCGTCATTAGCCGTCATTATGGCAAGTATTGCTGGAAGATAAATTGTCCTAGAAATTATTGTGACATAAATACTAATATTGTCATTTTGAGACAATTTTCAACTATAATAATAATAGTAATGGGATATTAATGCAAGCACACACTCAAAGATTGAAAAAAACTTTAATTTCTAGAGAATATTTAACACTGGAAAACATTTTTAATGTCCAAAACTGATTAAAATGTGACAATTTGAACATTAGTGATAGTTTTGGGGTTTTCATAACATTGGAATTTATTGAAACAACAACAAATCATTATTTTTATCATAATAGAAAATGTTTCTAGCTGTAACTGGAATAGAAAATAAAAATCAAATGTGATTTGATCCGGATGTTTTGCTGCTGGTTTAGACTTTAGAGTGGAATCAGTTCCCTAAACTTCACCCTGTTTCTAAATCAAACTGTAAATCATCACATGAGGATCTTATTTTAAACATGTGACCCAAATTCCCCCCTCAGATAAAAAAACGTTTATTAAATTGATCAAAAACAACAAAGGAACCACAAAGATTCAAAACATAAAACTACTGAGATCCGTATTTTAAAATAAAGTCTAAACAAAAAGCTAATTTATAATCACCAAAAACTGATCATTGCAAGAAAAGATTTAAAAGATTTGGTGCTCTTACTGGAGTGTGGATGTTAATGTCAGGAATATACGGCCTTAAAATGAAGCATTTAAGGGTTAAAGTCAATCCTAAACTAACATGAAGCCAGAACCAGATTCTGGTGTGTAGGCGATGCAGAGATGATTTATCTAACCCAACATACGATGAATTACGAGAATCCAACCGAGAGTTAATAACGGCATGAATCACTTTTTCAAGATCTTTGGTTGGAAGATATGACGTCATCCTGGTTATTCCTCTTGATTGGAAAAAACTGGATTTCACAGCAGTCTGTATAATTTAAAGTAAAACATTTTCCTGACAGCAAAGGGTCAGGATTGTCATTTTCTTTTCTACCTACTTTTAATATAATCCAGATAGTTGAAGAGTGATTATCTTGCCCAACTGGCAAATAGATCAGAAATAGTATCAGCAAAATAGTAGAATATCCACTAATTTTAGTGCTACATAGTAAAAGTAGTAAAGTTTATAAAGCAGTGGACCAAGAATAGAGCCTTGAGGGACGCCACGAGTGAGAAAAGCCATAGAAGAACCCAAAATAAAAAGTTGTTCCTTGGCTACCTGGCCAAGTCGGGACAGTGAAGTCCTGCGGTCCGAGGTGTCACAGGTTGCTCAAATGCCTGAAAGCAGTGAAACGTGTGCAACCAAGTCCTGCTTTTAAATCGTTTCAGGTTAAATGATCGCACCAGGCTGAACCCAAAACAGGGCAAAAGCATCGCTAAACTCCTTCCACTGGTGTGAGTGTCTGTTGTTCTGTCGCTTTTGCTGCACAGAGATGAAATTAGCAGTTTCTGTTTTCTTCAGGGGCAAACTGCCGAAGCAGCTCTCTAAAAAACCAGTAACATCAACGTCCTTCAAGCTGGAGCTGAAACCCGACCGGACGCACCAACTGTTTGTTCAGGCGTCCTACAACAACACAAACTCTTCTCAAAGTCAAACAGTCACCTTTAGCCCCTTAGAGGAGAGTAAGTTGAAAATTTTGTCTTTTGTCAGTCAGAATTTTTTGTTTCCAAGAACATTTCTGAGATGAATCTCTATTTCTGAGTTTTTATTCTGGAAAATTTGAGGGTTTTTTTCAGCAATGTCTCAACTTTTTAGATTCATAAACTTCAGTTATAAATAATCTCAAAATTTCTGAATCTATTCTGGCAAATTTTCAACCTTAGAATCACAGAAATTTCAACGTTTTTTTTTCTAGAAATGTTTCGGTTTTTTAACTCAGAAATTTCCTCTTTTTTTTAAAGAAAATTCCTGAGATTAATCTAAAAATTTCAGATTTTTTTTTCTGTTTACAGTGGCCCTCATAATGTTGTATAAAACTAACTTGTATTTTTTGTGTGGAAAGCTGTGATTGGTCCTCCGCTGCTCTCGGTGGCCGGATGTGGAACCTGCATCCAGGGGAACATTTCAATGCCAATAGATTCATACACAAAGAAACATGGGATTCACTATGATTTCAGCTTCATAGTGCACTTGAAGAAAAGAAATGACATAAAATTTCAGGTAAAATACATATCTTGTGTCAAATTTCTCTTATATACAGCAAAGATTTTCTTCTGATTTCCTCCTGTGAGCAATCTCTGTTCTATTTTCTCTTTTGCTCAGGATTTTCTGTTCTGAAGCTTGACTTTACTGATGAAACTCCATTCAAAGATTGGTTAAAAATACCTTCTACATTTTAAACTACATATTTTATCTTTGTAGGAAAGGAGGATGCTGTTCATGTTTTTGTTACCTGACAGTAGCGATAACTAGGAAAAGAAACTATTTCAGTTTCTCATGCTGTTGTTTTCCAAACTGAAACTGAAAGATGCTTCAAATGATCCAGAAAACTTTTTTATTAGCGACAATATTACAATCTAGCAGTTTGCTGAATGTGAAGCCATTTTGATATAAAGCGAAAGAAACCATAGCTAACACAATCTCCACCTTTAGAGGTTTAATGGAGACGTATGATTCAAACGCATCACTTTTTTCAGTTTTCCATTCGGGTTTCAACTGCTTCTAAAAACAAACCAAGCCCTTTATAAAAAATTTTTTAAAAACACCCAGCTGGTTTTTGGCAACAAGTTGATGTTTTTTTGGTGACCCTAACCCTAACGTCTCAATCATTTTCAGGAGCAGACAGTTGAAAGGAGCTTCAACCTCAGCCACCTGGAGAAAAATGTGGAATACTGCATACAGGTGCATCCCAAGTGCCGAACGAACCAAAACACGCGGCCGACCGGGTGGAAATGCACCTTTACCAGCATTCCAGAACCAGATTACAGTGAGCTGGACCGCCGCAACTGATTCTATTCAATAAAGTACAATACACTGTAAAAACACAAAGTCTAAACAAGACAAGACTGACTTACAAGAAACTTTTCTTGTTTTAAATCAATAATTCTTTAATATTCACAAAAAATGACTGCTTCCACTTGCAGATTAATGTTAAGTCATTTTTCTTGTTTATAAGTGAAACAAATCTGCTAATGAAACAAGCACTATTTCATTAATACTAAGGAATTATTCATTTAAAACAGGCAGATATATTTAGCTGAAGTTACCTGTAAGTTTGTTTTGTCATTTTTAAGGTGTAAAAATATATTCAAAGTCAAAACTAAACCAAAAAAACTTTCTATAATGTTGTGTTTTTACAATGAAAATGCTGTAATAACACTGTAAAATAGAAACAGTTCTTCAACCTACACTGCAAAACCACAAAAAAGTATTTGGGGTTTAATTTCTACTGAAAATATGTTTAATACACTTGAAATATGACAAAACTAACTTAGAATTCACCTAAAAATTATAGGAGCTTATTTTACATAAATAATTATTGAATATGGATGAAAAAGTTGTGATTCCATTGGCAAATTATTTCACTTATAAGATAGTAAAAAAAATGTCTTGTTTGAAGGGAAATAATCTGCAAAGGAACTTGTAAATTTCCATCAATAAAGCCAATTATTGAATATCTTGCTGAAAATTTACTTAGAATTTTGTTTTATTTGTTTAGACTTTGCATTTTTGCTGTCCCTTCCAGCCCTCTGAGTTAAAAATAGACATTTAAACAAAGTAAATCCCAGTGTGACGTCAGAAGGCAGATCCAGCATTTCCAGTCTGACTGAATTCCTCGTCATTCCATGATTGTTTTCAGGACTGTTGGTTTTAGTCGGCATCACAGCTGTTTTGATTATTTCCCTGATTGGCCTGATGACGGGAATGTTCTGCCTCTACTACACCGGATTCCTGTGCAAACTGAAGGAAATGCCTGCAGCCCTCATGGTGAGATAATCTGTCTATGTTCTGGGTCACCCTTACACTGCAAAAACACAAAACTGTACCTTTTCTCATTACCTGGTTTCATACCTGCTTTGGGAGTTACTGCATGACATTTACATATTGGGGTCACTATAGACAGAAAAAAAGTTTCCACCAAAAACTCTTGTATTACATTTCTGGGTCTCAAAAGTTAAAAATGTTTTGACTTTTGAAAACAATGTTCTGGGTTTTAAATGTTACACATTATCAACTTTTGAAACAGAAGTTTAAAAAAATTTCAAGATTTTTGAGACTGATGTGAAATTTTTTTTTCCAACAAATTTTCAACCTTCCACACTAGAAAATTTCAACGTTTTCTTTTTTCTGAGATTAATCTCAAAATGTCTTTTTTTTTCTAGCAAATTATTTATTTATTTTTTTACTTGTGAGTTTCATCTTGAAATTTCTGGGATATTTCTAGCAAATTTCACACTCAGAATTTTTCAACTTTTCTATAGAAATTTCTGAGATTGTTCTCAAAATTTTTGCACATTTTCTTTTTTTTTTTACTTTTTAGTCTTTTTTTCTAGAACATTTCTGAGAGTTTTCTCAAACTTTCTGGGATTTTTGGTGGAAATGTGTTCCTTTTTTTCCCCATCTATTTTGGTCCTAATTTGCCGCCATACTCCTGTCCCTTGCAGCTCTCTAAACACAGTTTGTTCCCAGTTACAGTTCCTGTTTCTGCCTTCTCATTTCCTCCTCCTCAGGTCGTTTTGAGGCGAAGCCACGTCCTAACCCTGAGCACCACGGACATCGACCGGGTCACCATCATCCCCAAAACGGTAAAAACCAGAAACCGCCCGGCGGCGTCTCCGTCTCCCGCCGGGGACACCAGCTCAGAGGACGAAGACGGCGATGAGGAGGCCGCAGTGAAGCTGTACATGGACAGAAACGCAGAACTTTCTACAGGCGGCGGTTCTGCTGACAGCAGTGGGAACATCGACGTGATGAAGGGTGACTTCCAGTCTGACTGCTTTGGTCTCAACCAGTATGAGACCAAAGCAGAAGCTGTTTTTATTCATGACAAAGATCAATCTGGACAGAAGGACTCCATAACTCTGCAGGAGGAAATCAAAATGGAGACTCTGGAGTTCTCCGAAGACGTCAACCTGTTCTCCGTCACCTTCGCCTCGATGGCTGCTTGTGAGGAAGACGAGGTAGAGGAGGATCAGGACTCTGTAAGCTCTTCCATGGGCTTTCTGAGGACTTACACCCTGAAACCTCTGAGCCAGATGGACTCTGAAAGTGAACAGAACGATGAGATGCGTCTGTCAGAGTCGGGACAAGATGGCAGCTGCACAGAGTGCTGGATGGGCGAAGAGGAAGAGGAGGAGGAGGAAGAGTTCTCTGGATATCTGACAAATAAATGACACGTTTTCTGAAACTGGAGGACTGTAGGTTAAAACAACAGGTCCATTTCTGATCCTACGACTCGGTGTGAACCGGCAGATGAAATAATCACCCACACTGCAAAAACACAAAATATTAACAAGTATTTTTATTTAGTTTCCAGTGCAAATATCTTGATGAAACAAGACGACATTCACTCTTCAGCGATAGCGGCTTGTTTTAGGTCAATAATTCATTAATAAAGATGAACAAGCACTGGTTTCACTGGCAGAATATTTCACTGGTTTCACAATCCACTGCACCGTTACCTGCCAAGTAACGGTGCAGGTAATGGTGCGACCGTTACCTGCCAAGTCCAGCTTGTCGCCGATTAACCCAGTTCTATTTCTACCTGCAGATTATTTCACTTGTAACAAGAAGTTTATCCCTTGTTATAAGTGAAATAATCTGCCAATTGAACTGATACTTTTTATCAATATGAGGGAATCATTATTATGAAACATGCTGTTGAGTTAGTTTTGTCTTATTTTAAGTGTACCAAGATGTTTCCACTATAAACCAGACATAAATACCTGGTGAGAGTTTGTGTTTTTGCAGTGTGGATGATTATTACATTTGTCGGTCGTCATCCAGAATTGTAGAATCAGAAATGGACCTTTTGTTCTTCTTCAGCAGGTCCATGCGGGTTGCTTCAGCAGGTCCATGCGGGTTGCTTTGGAGTCGCACAAAAGTCTGACTTTTGTCGCATTTCGCATTTAATTAGTGATTCGAGTGACAAAAAAAATATATTTTATTAACTACATTCACACAGCAAAACCTGCTGTGTGATATAGTCTTAAAATATAGTGCTAATATAGTCTTAAAATGTCTCATTCACGTCAGAAAGTTTAAGATTAGGACAGGGAACATACTGACAACTTTTAATTACTCCGCATAACCCTGTCCCAGTAACGTTGATGTGGCATCGTCTCCAGTTTTTAAACTCAGACCTGCTGTAATCACCTCTCTGTCTGCAGTGAGATCTGTCCGGTTCTTTAATCCAACCTAACGGTATCGGTGCTCAAAGTTTTTACCGTCTATATTTTTGGTTTTCATGCGTTTGTGATTGTTCACATTTCAGTGCCAGTTGGTTTCATTTTGCTGGGTCAAAATTAAACCAGACCAGTGCCTCAGAACAAAGACTGCTTCACCTGTTTTAAAGGAGAAAACAACAAAATATAAATCTGTTAAAGGTTTTCACTCTGCCTCCTGTGTGATTTTTGTTGTTTTCTGATATTTTTTATTAAAAAAGTTATTTTTCTGAATCTGGACTTAGTAGGTTTCATTATGTTCAGAATGAGGTCGATGACAACATCACAGTGGACTGTTATCCATTCTCCAGAAACTAAACCAAAAGGAAAAGTGTTCTGGGATTACATCATTTTCTGACAAGTGTTATGGCCTACCATATAAAATCTAAACATTTTAACACTGCAAAAACAAAATATTAAGTATTTTCGGTCTAATTTCTAGTGCTTTTGAAATAAGACAATTAATTTATAAGTGACTTTTCCAGAAAACATCAGGGCTTGTTTTACATCAATAATCCCTGAAAACTGATGACAAACTATTAGTTCCTCTGGCGGATTATTTCTTATAACATGGAAAAATTATCTTATTTTTTGAAAGTATCTGACAGTGGAACTTGAACTTATTCATTAATATTAAGGAATTATTGACTTAAAAACTCCTACATGTTGCTGAAAAGTTTTGTCTAATTTTAAGTGCATACAGATATTTGCAATAGAAACTACATCAAAAATAACTAGTAAGATTGTGTTTTTGTAGTGAAACCACAAAGCCATGTTAATTTGAGATTTATTTTTATGCACATCTTTTTATTGTATCATAAAAAGTTGACATTCCTCTTTCCTGATATGTTTTCCAGCTCCTCTTGGGGAGTATTGAGATAGACATCTATCTATTCAGCTACATAGCTACATAACGAGCTAGCTCCACATCCATTGAAAAAAACATGCTATATTTATACATTAGTTTTAATTTTTCTGCAACAAGAAAGAAGAATATGTCTTGTATCAACTCTTCTCCTTCCGGGTGATTTCCAGACATTTTATCTTAAAGGGTTTCTGTATTATTCCAGATGACTCACATGATACATCAGCATTGATTTTATTATCAATTTAACAGAAATTAAACCAAAAGTAAAAGGTCTGGTCTCTCCATTAGAGTCTCTAAATGGGGGCTTTTCAGTGAGACATAATCACAACTCAGATGTTCTGGTTTTTAAAAACAGTTGGTCTTTTTCACAACTATAACCTGAAATCACTTCATAAGACCTAAAAGTTTGAAAAGTATTTAATAATGGAAATAATAAAACTGATTGCAACATATGAACAACATGATATTTCTATTAGGCCCCCTGTAGATAGAAAAAAAGTTAAGAAGAGTAGATTTCCTCCAAAAAACTCAGATTAGATTAATCTTACGAAGTTTCAAGAAAAAACTTCTACGAGAAAATATCAGAAATTTTGAGATTAATCTCAGGATTTTTTCTGAAAAACGAGGACATTTCTGAGGTTCTAAAGTAAAAAGTTTTCTTTTTTTCTTTCTAGATAAATCTCAGAAATTTTCTAAGGTTCAAAAGTTGAACATTTTGAAAACTTTTGACTTTTGAACTTTTGACAATTTTCAAAAATGTTCAAATTTTCAAAAGTCGACACTTACTATCAGATATTTTTTAGACCCTAATTTTCTCAGAAATGTGAGTATTATTTTATTTTATCTGATGAATCAAAAACATGTCTATTTTCTCTGTTTGTATGTTGATGAAGATTCTTTCCGCTCAGTCAGAGTTAAGGTTTTTGTCTACTGATCATTTTTTAAGCTTTTAGCCAGAGTTAAAGTTTGTTAAAACTGTAAATTAAACGATTTAAACTAAATTGTGAAGTTCTTCACGTAAAAGGCTGGGTAGGTCACATGACTTCCTATCAACCGCTACTTATGATGTCGCATTTAATGTCTGTCGGACGTTTCATTTGAATCTACATGCAAGTAAGTAAATATTTGAATTACCATCAGTAGCATATGTAATTGTAACTGTAAAATCATTAATAGATATTTTTTGAAGTCTCTATTCCTAAACTATCTGGGTATGATAGTTTGTTAACGCATCCCATAGAGAGTTCAAAAGTTACGGGATGTCAGTGAACGCCCCAGCGGAAGGAGTACATATTACTGTTCCCAGGATGGGCCATCTTCTGTCCGTGCTGGGAATGTTTACCTGAAGTCCAAATGGACGCCGCTGGGAAACTTCATGCTTTCACTCCGAACCAGTTTCCGAGTAAAAGCCCGTTCGGGTTCTGGAGTTTTACTGGTTCCGAGCGATGCTAGTCCGTGTTTAAGCTAGCGGCACGTTTCCGGAGAGTGGGCGTCTAGTTGGTGGGGAATAGTCCAAACATTTGGCGCTTCGTGGACTTGTTTGGGAAACTGTGTTTGTTTTGTTGGCTTTTAAAGAGGAGCGTTAAGGAAGATGAAAGCAGCGGAGTCCAGGAGAAAAACGGTTCTGGTTCCGATATGACTAAAGTGCTGTGGCTTCTCACCTGGCTGCCGCTGGCTCTGACAGGTGAGTTCAACCTTCACCACCCAGAAACACCTGGGTTGTTGCGATTCTCTGGGCTTTTTAGGATTTATTTGTTTATTTATGATGGGGTTCGGAGCTCATTGCTTTGTGGACCCATGAACTGCAGCTCAAATCGTGGCAGCTGCAGTGCCACTTCCGGTGGCATAATAGACTATCAGATGGTCTGTTATGGTCCCACCAACAACACATCCACAGTGCTGCAGCCACTTTGATAAATCATCCACATGTACACTAAAAAGAAGAGGAGACAAAATACTTCCCTGTATATTTATTTTGAACAAATATACAAAATAAATGAATACAAATACATAAGTACACGCACACAAACAGCCACTAATTTGGTGGAATCTGTCCCAGAATCTGTGGCAACTGATTTAGATGTATTGTTTTTATTATTTTTATTGATTTGTTTGAAGTAAACTTGTTTATATGCATATTTAATACTCAACCAGCTGCTGAATCTGTGTCAGCTGACACGAGTTTTGCTTTGTCAGGATTCCTTACATTTCAGCCACAAAGTTAAAACTTTTTATTGGGTTTTTATGTGACAGACTATAAACAGAGCAGGGAAACATGCAAATAACCTGACATGTGACATGCATTTGTTTTCAATCTAACTGTGTATATTTATGTATCATTTATCATGATCAATTTCTCATCATAATCATTATTGATGATTTATTGCTGTTGTGATAAATTCCAGTTAAAAACCTGTCATAATTTTTAGTTTTACTCATAATCAGCTTTATTGGAGAAACAAATAGGTAAATTGAAAGATAATTTAAGAAAATTTAAAAAGAAACAATCACATAAATAGATGATAATCACATATATGGATTTACAGAAGGGCAAGAGCGCCAGTGATTCCACATTCTGGACTTAAACCCGACTGAGCTTTGTGAAATATCTGCTAGTATCTGTTAGTAACTCCATGTAAACCTGTACAGAAGTTTCCATAAGACAGCATGAAAAGTGGAAACGCCAACATCAACAAATACCTGACTTGCACGAGTTCATCTCAGCAGCGTCCTCATTCATTATACTCTGAGTTTCTGCAAACTGCTTTGTTTATACTGTCTCCAGAAGTGAGCAGTATACAGAAGAGTGCAGAATGCTTTAAAGAGACACTTTTCACTGAGAAAGTGTCTCTTTCTCATGCTGCTTGCGTAGCAGCGTGTTAGCTTGTGCGTACATTAAACGACGATGTCTGTGAATGTCCATATCATCAGTGTGTTAATGTCCCAGGTACTGGACACCAACACACTTTAAGAACAACGCCAGATGGGAAGAAGTCAGGAAGTACCAACTTCTGACTCTTATAATCCTAATGTTACTTTTCAATGTATTGTACATAATGTCATACTCCTGACCATATTGTGAGCAGGACCTTGGTAATTGCTGAAGAGCATTAGCATTAGCATACATCAGATGGTCTATTATGGTCCCACCAACAACAGATCCACAGTGTTGCAGCCACTTTGATAAATCATCCACATGTACACTAAAAAGAAGAGGAGACAAAATGCTTCCCTGTCTAACCCCATTCCTTACTGTAAAAGAGCTGACACTCAGTTATCCCATATTACGTACATGAACTGATGCTTTTACCAAAAGGACAAAATTCTAACAATAGATCTGGGAACCTCTCTGTTGTGTAGCTTATAGAATAGCTTTTTATGATCAACCCGATCACAAGCCTTCGAGGCATCAATAAAACACATAAATGTTGTGCTTATTATAAAAAACTACAATCTCTTTCCAAGCAAAGACACGCATATCTGCGCCATGCTGCGATTTAAAACCAAACCAGCTATCCGAAGTAATATACCTAATATAATCGTCTCCAGAACCTTGGATAGCACACAGGCTAAAGCTAGGGGCCGATAATTATCCCTGTTATTTATTTTTCCAGTTTTATTCTTTATATTAGGCACCAAAATAACAGGGGCTTTTATTGCTGTGACACACAGTCATGTAGCCATGCAGTTTCCTAAAAAAAACAAGCAATAAATAGTTTTTCTTGCATTGTCATCAGAATTACGGTTGCTACGAACGATTCATTTAGTTATTTTTGACAATTATTTCTGTTTATATTATTTCTTTTACGTTTTTATTTTTCCATTATTATTTGTAATCATTTTTAAAGTTTTACACTTATTTAGTTTTAGTTACTTTTCATTTTTTTAAATCATTTAAAATTTTAGGTTCTGTATATAGGACGAGAGAGATATTTTTCAAAACGTAAAATTTTATTTTAGTTACTTGTCTCAGCTATAAAGTGAAATACTAGAAACAAGACATTATTAGTAACAGTAATAACTTGTATGTTAGTGAATTGAAAGTCTTTTTTAGTTATTTTTGGATCGTTTTTAGCTGGAAAAGTATAAAAACTTGGAAAAGTTCTTGAATTTTACTGTTAGAAAAGTGTACAAACCAAAACTGAGCCATAGCAGATGACCTGTAAAGAATTCACTTTATTTTTCCCCATGATTGAAAATAGATTTGCCGTTAAAACTTGCATTTTGTCCTCTTCTGCTTAACATTCTGGTTGTTTTTGTGTTGCAGCTGTGAGTCTCCCAGCACCACGAAACATCAGTGTGACCTTGAGTCAGTCGGGTTACATGTTGAGATGGGAACCCGGAGCAGGAACCCCCCATGGGACGTCTTTCAGTGTTCATACCTCCAAGTGAGTCTCACCTGGTGGCGTGTTTGAGTGGAAACTGCTGCAGGCTGCTGTGGTTTCAACGGGAGAAACGGTGCAGATGAGTCAGTGTTTAAAGACTCACACCCAGAAAGAAAACCTGAGGACCTTGAGGAGTTTCACTTCCGGAAATGTTTCCTAAACAAACCTGCAGCCAGCAGCCGCTACCCAGGAATCCGTTTACCGGATAATCCCAGTAGCTTCTAATTAAAGCTACTGGGATCAGATCACTTTGTCAGCAGGTTCACCTGCAGTCCCATGGTTTATTTACGTCGTAATTAATCACCTACTTTACTGGATTAAAATATATAATCAACATCAGTTAATCTGAATGTTGAATTTAATGGAACTTTCTATTAACAATTGTTATGGCAAATTTAAATGAAGAAATATATTTGTAATTACTAAAACTTCACTTTATGGTTATATTTGGGAAAACTTTATGGTTATTGCAACAGTAAGCCTGTTGCAATAAATCAATTAATCGCATGAGCTCGACAATTTCCATTCGCATTATTATTTATTTCTCTATTTCTACCAAAAACTGGATGACAAGCCTTTTTTTTTTAAGGATAATTTTCTTTAGAGCCTTCAGTTGTTTTGTTTATTTATGTTATACATTTAAAAATTCTTCCAGTTCCAGTCTTAAATGTTTGTTAGAAATTAAAATCTATTGATCTTTGAGAGTGTGAACTTACTTGTCTTATGCCATTACCGTTATATCATCTACTCAAAACATCAGTTTTATGGTTTATCTCAGTAACTTGTGGGACAGTTTGTCATCCAGCTAAATTTCGTTAAGACAGGCCAAAATCATTTTTGGATAATAAGATTTCAGTTCTGTTTTCAGAAGGAGGCGTTTCAGGGCGTCCTGTCACTTTAAATATGAATAAGCTGCTGCGGCCACACACTCACAAAAATGGCTGCCAACAGATTCGATTCAAATTCAAAAATACTCTATTGATCCCAGAGGGTTACAAAATTAGATGCACAATTATACAATTGTACATATTTGAAAAGCAGAAGTGAAACCTCCTGCACAACCAACAAGAATGCAGCAAGTGGTCTCTGCATGGTAAGTTGACAACAAGACACTTGTCTTTTCCAGCAGCCATTGTACAGCTCTGGTGGGGTTGCTAGGTGACGGCGCAGTTCCAGTCAGTTCTGACATTTTGAAACAGCTTATTTTCCACACACCAAAAATCATTAAATTATTTGCAAAAAACCCAGCTGGATGGTGTTTTTAAGGGTTTTGGTTGTTTTTAGAAGTAGTTAAGGCCCAAATAGAAGTAAATAGAAACATCCAAAATATGAATTTTCCATAATAGGTTCGCTTTAAAAAAACTACTCCTTTAAAGGGGGGGAAAAATATCTCAGTTTAGATACCCTTATATTGTTTTTTGAATTTGAGACTCATGATGAACGTAGACATTAAAAATTACCCCAACCTCTTGTTTTCTGCTTGGTTTTTCCTCTCCAGAAAGAAACATCCCTTCATCTCGGTATCCGGCTGCCAACAGGTTCAGAATCCACTGACCTGCAACCTGACTGAAACATTTGGAGACCTGGTGGGTAGCTTTGACATCCAGGTGAAGGCTCACCTGGGGAACCGTTCATCCAAACCAACCGAACTTAAAGAATATAAACCAATGGGTGAGTTATCTCCATGTTTGCACCACGGCTGGCATAACTTTGATATTGAAGAGGCTTCATTGTCTGAATCACTTTGTTTTTTTTTTTTTGTTTTTTTTTTAATTAAATTGGTTATTTCATTTTGTTTTATTTCAAAGGGAAAAATGTACCTTGCATGCTATGACAGAGTTAGCCATAAGGGCTAGTTTTCATCTGCAGTCCCTTGAGGTACATTAATATAAAAAAAAAACAAGTTTCAGTAATACTTTATTTGAAGCCTTACCTTCTTCCAAAAAAAAGGAATAATAATGATGCATGCAGCACATTTTTTTTATCACAATGAACATATTTTCCCTTTAGATTTCATTTCCTCATATTTGGTTGGGTAGTTTGCTTTTAAGTTCTGATCGGAGGTTTTGTTGTTTAGCAGTATCAAATGAAAACAATCTGAGGAGCGATGCCACGCCTTTAAATGATTCAGGTTCACTTATTTTAATGATTGCCTCGGGGAAACTTTCATACTTCATGTTTGCAGTCATCTGATGACTAAGCTTTGCATTATGGTTGGTAAATCATGTGATGGTGTCTCTGCCCTGCCAGCCCACCTGCCTCTGCCCAAGCTGAACGTCACAGCCTGCTACTCCAAACTCTGCCTGCGCCTCCGGCCTCCATACTCGCGCTTCCAGTCGACCTACGACACAATCGAATATCAGCTTCGGATCGAGAGCAGCAACACAGACAAACACCAGGTACCGATTTATAAATGGAGCCGGTTTCAGCAGCCTGTTGGCATCAACCGAATCTCAAGGAGTTAAACTTTTATATGTCTTGATTGCATGAATCACAAATATCTTCATGTGATGTGGTTTAAAAGGCCTGCAGCAACCTGAGGTTACCACAAGATTTACTCAGGATGTCAGAAGAAGAGACGTTTCTCTTCCTATAAATAATATAAATGCAGGAATTGTTTTTAAGTTCAGTGATAAAATCATTTGAACCTCCCCTGCAAGTGAAGAGTCTTGGTAAGATATCAAAACTAGAACCTCAACTCGTATTAAATGTATTGAACTTTAACAATGACGTTAAAGTTATAACCTGCTGCAAATGATTAATCGTTATTAATCAATGGCTGAAATAATCACCAACTAAGTTAGTAATCAATTAATCGTTCACTGGAGCAAATGGATTCAAAAATAAGCCATTTGCTAAAAGCAGAAATTAAGCCAAAACTCTACAAAATGTAGAGAAGTTTAATATTTAAGATTAAAATACATGTTTTGTAAACCTGTTCTACCTCGATATACATACATAGTGGGTTTAGCTTCAAGAAGACCTTGGAGGTTCGCGTCTGTTGATGCCATGATGGTTTCCACATGATGTGTGTAATAACTTTATTTAATGTTTGAAGCAGGGCTGAAATGATTAATCGATTATTGGAATAATCGGTAAACAAATAGGCAATTCGATGCCAGGAAAACATCCTCAAAGGTGTCAATTAAGCCAAAACTGCACAAAAATGCATAAAGTTTACATGAAGATTTTTAAAAAAAAAACTTTTTCTGTAAATATGTTCTACCAAAAACTTTTATGTGGCCTAGTTTTTTTTGTTTTGTCACCTGGATTAAATTGAATTTAAAAAAAAAATTCTAATAAAAAAGACATTTTGATGTGCTCTGGTTGTCGCCATCTTGTTTCACAGCTTTTATTTATTTGGACTTTTATAAAAACTTTAAATGAAGAATCTTGTGAAGTTATACTTTGGCACCGGTTTTACAAATAAAGAAATATTTAATCTTTCAACACATCAGCATCTTGGAAAAAGAACCGGTAATGAACAGAATCTGAGATTTTATGTTTTCAGTATACACATCTAAAGGCATCAAACTGATGTTCTTGTTGTTTTTTAATCACAGTTTAGTCTGTTTGGCTGTAATATTCCCGATCTTCTCCTCTTCATGTCAGATCCTGAAACTCGGCCCTCTGGAAAGCAGGGAGAATTTGACGGATCTGGTTCCGGGCAGAGATTACTGCGTCTCGATCCGGTTCAACTACGGCCTGATTCAACTGTTTTCCAACTTCAGCCAGCCCGAATGCATTTCTGTCCAAAGGCTCTTTTCTTCAGGTGGAAACATTTTTTTCTGCTGTTTTCTGAATGTTTCAGTCTGTATTTATCCAGTTAACCTGTTTTTATTGGACAAACAAGTTATTTACTGTTTTCAATGAGCTGCTGAAATACCTGAGGAACAAAATCAATATGAGGTTTTGTGAAAAACTCAGATTTCTAAATATTTTGATCAATTTTTCTTACATTTTTCTTCTGAAGTCCAAAGAAATTAAGTGTTGCTCTTTCGATTCGTATTGGGATCCTAATCTACAGACACCATTTGTGTTTAAACACAATGGTGTTTAGGAAAAAGTGAGAAATTAAAATAAAAATAGATAAATTACATAAATAAACCAGAAGCTTACATACTTCTGTGTTCATATGTATAAAAACACTTTTATTTTTCCTCACTGTAAAGTGAAATCAAAGTATATCTTTTTTTGTCTTATGTTAGAATTATTAAAATTAGTTGTATTTATTAAATGCCAGAAAACTAAGCAGGAAAAAAATTTTTAGAAATTTTTTTTGTGTGTATATTGTGTTTAAAGTGTTTAATTTGAGCAATAAGGAACGATTTGTTGGATTGTTTCAACATAATGAACATGTATTATTCCTAATTTCTCAATGACTTATTGAATTTTATAGTTGTAATAAAGGTAGTTTTATATGTTATATTTTTTATTATATTAGTGGTTTATTTTCAGCCCAGTCAGGTGTTTAGGTCATGTGAGACATTTCAAAACATAAAATTCTGTTATATTTCAGTTTCTTTGTCCCTGCTGTGGAATCTATGGCATTATTAACAATAGTAATAAATTATATTACTATTAATAATATAACAATAGTAATAAATTATACCATAGTTTAAAACTGCCTTGTTTTAGTTTATTTGCATTGTTTTTTTTCTTCTAAGTGTAGGTCTAGAACATTTTGAAAAATGTTTGATTTTACTGTGAGAAAAGTTTACAAATTCTGATAGAAACTTAATTAAAAAAAAACATATTAATGAGGAAATAGATTCTGTGTTTGAATGGAAAAAAGTCCAGTACGTTTTCTCTGGATTAATCGGTGTAAATAATGTGTCCTCCTTGCAGACATCGTCGTTTCTGCAGTGCTGAGTTCATTGGTGATGATTGTCATCGCTTTCTTTGCTCTGCTATTCGGGACCGGTTTCATCTGTCTGAAACGGAGTCCGATGCCTTCGGTTCTGGTGAGTAAAACGCAGCCGGCCGGTAAAACGGAAAACGACTTTAGGATGTAGAAATATGGTGAAAAAAATGTTAATATTGTGGATTTTCTATCTGTTATTTCACAAAGTAAAACTCTTATGTTCATATATACAAATTAATGCCTTAAAATGTCTTAAATTCATATATCTATAGAAATCAAGGACTTAGAGAGTCTTGAATTTACATGTTTAAAATTAAAGCAATGTCAGAGATTTTGTAGAAAAAAATGATGGCCTTAAATACATCAATCACAGGCCTTAAATTTTGTTGTGGTAGGACTACTTAATTTTTTTTTTTTTTTTTGTGCAAACTTTAGACTCCAGGCGGCTGCTCCTGCAGCTACTGCTAACTAGCTGCTAATATATCTTTGCTAGCTAGCTGGCTTTTTATGTCCATCATGCCTAAGTTTAAATGTATTGTCTGTTGACTGGATAACGTTCCATTTTCCCCAGTTGCCAACACAAATAATATATTTCTGATTTTCTTGTGAACATTTCTGTCTTGGTGAAAGTCCTCAATTTTTTTCAGAATGGTCTTAAAAAATCTTACATTTGAGTTGGTGAGGTTAAAAGTTATCTTTTCAGGTGAAGGAAAAGTTAGAATTTTATTTTAAAATAGAGGCCCCAGACTCTGGATGTATGGTTCTGCTGGTTCTGGTCCACTGGGTTCCACAAACAATAAACATACTTTTCAGAAAACCTAGCATTTGAAGCCTCAGTTTGGACTTTCGGCTCAAGGCTGGTACATAGATTTCTGAGAAAACTGCTTCAAACGTTTCTGTGAAGAAATAAAAACAGCGGCGTGGTTTCTGACAGGAAGCTGACTTCGAGGAAGAGCACTCAAAGCAAACCTCTCTCTTTGTCCTTACATGAAGGTAACAGAAGTGGGTTTCAGGTCGTCTCACCTCTCCAATATGCCGAATGTTTTTAATGAGGCACTTTACAGTTTAAACACCGCAGGTTATTGACTATAGCCAGTGCGGGCGCCTTTCTATCTCAACATCGAAACCCACATAAATGGCTGCTGTGCAAAGACGTATAATTTAAAACCAGAGGATCAGATAATGCAGCCATTATTTTGTAAAGCGCAGTAACCAGTGACTCCCTAGATTAGAAACTTTTCAATTTCAAACTGTTTGAAAGACTGAATGTTGGTGGTAACAGGAAGGAACCTCAGCCATCGTGTCAGCACTCTCATATTGGAGATTTGGCCTTGGTTCTTTTTTATCTGTGGTCTGCAACAGCGAGACAAAAAAGAAACACCCATCTGCAGAAACCATATGGTTTCCGGTGAATGTTTCATGGTAGTTTTGCTTGTGATATTTCCCCTCTTGGAAACTTTCATGCTGCTGGCATAACTTTGTGTAAATAATCTTATGGAAAAAATACATTTTTAAATTAAAATTACTGCTGTCATACTGCCTATATTTAACACAGAAAAGCAACATTTATTCTTTCTCCTGCTAAAATAATAGAACATCCTAACATGGATAATTAATTGTATTTGTGGCATTTTTGCAAACAGGCACTTAATAGAGTATAAGTTTCCTATCTTATGTATCTTTATCTTTGTCTCTCTAGCTAATATTTATTTGTCTCTTTAGCTAATCTTATCAATCCTGAGCTGGATAAGTAACCAGTCTTATCTAATGGCTAGCCTGCAAGCTGCTGCTTTACAGACATGCTGCTCTTCGCTAGCTGTGCTAGCATTAACCAATACGCTAACCTGCTGTTATGCATTTATTGGCTTAAGGAACCTGAACAGTTTGACTTAATGAGCTGCAGGCTGAGCAGTTTTACTGTCAAGCTCAAAATTATTCATAACCCTGAAAGAAATCGGTGGAATAATCTTTATTCATTATAAAGCAGCCCAACCTTTGTATGTGTCCATTTGTAATTTGTCATTTTAAGACAGGAAGTCCTTCACTAAATGCACTGAATGTTTGTTAGGCATTTGTTCTGCTTAGATTTCAGCTAATTATCAGCTTCTTCTGCAGTTTTCAGTGAACTCTTTCTGCTTTCATAGCATGTCAGGTGGAAATATTATAGTTTTAAGGATTTGTGACAAAATTCTTGCAATTTCCCTTTTGTTCCTGTATTCATATCATGAATACAATAAAGGATTTCATTGTCTTTACTACATTGTATTCCTGATGAGTTCAGGAAAATATTTTAAAGTTTCTTAAAAAGTGTTTTTAATCTCCAGATGTAGTAAATCTAAACCTACATTTTCCGTCTCTCCACTAGACCTCCATTTCTCACTTGGAAGAAGTGAAAGTTTCGTCCTGTGGAGAGGCCCCGACGTCTCTGCTGAATGTCAGGCCGATGGCGCCCCCTGCAGGCAAGAGGACCTCCAGCAGTTCAGAGGACTCAGACGAGGAGAGCTGCACAGAAAACTCCGGTATAAGCTCCTCTGGAGCTAATTACGCTCTGCGTCAGGGCGCCAACCCGCTCTCCTCCACCTCATCATCTTCATCATCCTCATCTTCCAAACCAGAACCTCCACCTTACCGGACCCCAGACTCGCAGCTGGAGGTTCTAGTTGTTATAGAACCTCGGCCTGCTGCTGAACAGAAACTTGATAGTTTAGAAAAAAAGCGAACTGAGGAAGAGGAGGCGGCAGTGAACATTGGACAGGAAGTGAACCTCCTCACTTTGACGTTTGGCTGTCCGGAGGAGGAAGAGCAAGAGGAGGAGGAAGAAGAGGATGAGGAAGATGAAGGCTGCCTAGATGTCCTAGATGAGTTGAGCGCTCTGGCAGCTCCTCTGGTTCAGCCTCCTCAGCCTGCTGATGATGCTGCGGCGTCGTGCTGCACTGATGAAGCTTACGATGACAGCGACTACATGTGCAGGAAGGCGATGTGATGCGACTCCGATCCTGGATCAGCTGGTCTGACCCATTTTCACTCCGCCTTCTTTAAAACAAATCTACACATGGATTTGTTATCAAATTGGATCTTTCTGTGTCTGTCGCTGCATGTTAGCGCTTCAGATCATTTAGTGCAAGATCTTCAACCTCCCCAAATCCAAACCAGTGTGTTTCCTGTTTCAGGTTAACGAAGCTAAATGAATAGAAACATAAACCCACCGTGCGGTGGGCGCCTAACGAGCCACTCCTTGATGAACTCCTTGATGAACCCGAATGAACCCGATGTTTTTCCTCATGTACGTGTGTGTTGCTCTGCGTCTCCATGGCAACGATTCAACCCGCTTTCTTGCCCTCCCTCCAACAAACCACGGTTAGCGGCTGGAGTCTGTTCAGACATCAGAACCAGGGTGGGCTTGAGGTACTATTTGACTATAAGGGCTACTTGCTTCTGTTCTAGCGAACTGGATGGCTGAGAATCACAAGATACATTTTGTTGGACAATAAATTGTCCAAATCATCAGGCACTGCCCCTCACCTAGCAACGACAGCCCTCACCTAGCAACGACAGCCCTCACCTAGCAACGACAGCCCTCACCTAGCAACGACAGCCCTCACCTAGCAACGGCAGCCCTCTGCCTAGCAACGGCAGCCCTCACCTAGCAACGACAGCCCTCACCTAGCAACGACAGCCCTCTGCCTAGCAACGACAGCCCTCACCTAGCAACGACAGCCCTCTGCCTAGCAACGACAGCCCTCACCTAGCAACGACAGCCCTCTGCCTAGCAACGACAGCCCTCTGCCTAGCAACGACAGCCCTCTACCTAGCAACCCAAGTGGAACTCCAGAAGGTTTGGTTAGTTTTCCGTCCATCCGCCGGATCATTATCGCCTCATTTCTATCTTAACGATCAGTGTGTGTTTCAGATTAGATTCTGGCATTTCTTTTTACATTTACATGATGCAACAGGACCAATCATTAGCTTTCTGGGTATTATTTTAAAGTTCAGCTGTGAAATAAAAACATTTTGTCATGTTTTGTTCCTGCACTACAAAAACACAAAAGTATTTTTGGTCTAGCGTTCCTGAAATAAGACAAAATATAAGTAACCTTTCAGCAAAATATAGAAGTTTAAGTGAATAGATCCTTAATATTAATGAAAAATTACTAGTTTGACTGGTAAACTATTTCAATCGCATTGTATTTTACCCAGGTTTATGTGGGATTGTTAATATTAAGGAATTATTTGCCTAAAACAAGTTCTTATATCTTGCTGAAGCTTTACTTTTGTTAGTTTTGTCTTATTTTGACAAATATTTCTTCTAAACTAGACCAAAAGGATTTTGTGTTTTTGCAGTTTTTTTTCATTAGTTACAGTATTTTATCGTTTTATCCGTTTGTCTGTTTTTCCAAATGGACTTTTAAAGGTGAATCATGAACCAACAGCTACATTACCTCGTTTTCCCCTCTAATGACTGTAAACTGAGAGCAGTCGGCTGATTTAGATGAAGATGGACCGATCTTTTCTGTAATTTTGTTCTTTAAAGCCATGTTTGGATTGTAAATGCATCAATTCGATTGACCTATTTCTAGTTCATTAACAGTAATCAGACAGTTTAGGAAGGTTTTGATGCTTAACTTGTGGAAATTCTTGTCATTTGTGCTGTCTAATTTTATTTTGTGTTTTACACACAATCATGAACTCATAAGTTTTGTTTTTGCTCTGATAAAAGTTTGTTAACCCGGGTGGTTAACTCTTACCAATTCTGTAGCAGGTTCCTGCAGCTACTTCAGTCTGGGTGTTTTGGTGAAATGTTGCCATATTTTTCAGTTGTTTTGTTTAAATGGTCAATAATGTTAAATATTTTTGTACTGACTGTTCGATCAAATTCGCCTGATCACCTCACCTGGTTCATCCAGGTGAGGTGCTATTTCCTGTGAAATAGGACCGGTCCGTATGGAACGCTCCGTATGTTGTATCTTTTATATTTTTGTATTTTGCGCTCATGATGAGAAAATTGAGAATAAATTGTACAAAAAACTGTTTCTTAAACTTCAGTCTTTATTATTTTAAATTCAGCATGTTGTGTAATTTTGTCTGATTTTGATGATGGACAGCGCTTCCAGCTGGATGGTTTCCAGTATTCAGTCGCTGGTTTGATTTATTCTTTTAGCGAGTTGCTTTTATTTAATGTTTCATAAGATCTCCAACATGGCTAATCATGGGACCTCCACCGTGTTTTATTGCTGGATTTATACTCATTGAGACTTCGAACTAAATTAATTCTATTTAAATTATCCATGTGGGACAATTTTATGCAGTATTTGGATTCAATTAAATAAAAGTATTTTATTATTGTAACTTATTTTATTGTGATTCTAGTTTTTGATTCTTTATATTTCATAAATACAATATGAAATGTGTAGCAAATCTGTAAAACTATATTAATATTCAGAAGCTCATCCAGTTTATAGAAAATCAGTTTGAACGATAAAATATTTACCAATCCATTGAGAAATCTATCTCATGAACTTCTTTCTAAAACAAAAAGAGGGGAGTCGGGGGAAACATGTTGGATGCTGAAAAAGACCTAAAGGTTCACCTTCCATCAGGTGTCAAAATGGCCTAATCAAAGTCCTGATGTAATTGGGATTAAGAGATTGAGTAAACTAGAGTATTTTCCAAAAACAAATGAGTGAAAAATCAGAGATTAAACTCAGAAAATCTGATTTGTGGGTTTAATGTGAAAAATTTCAAAAGTTTAAAGGATTATTAATTATTTTTGCAGGAACTTGTTTTGATGGATTTATTTATCCAAACGGTGCGTTTATGTTGTGTTTTTGGGTGCTTACACTGCAAAACCACAAAGTCTGTTCGGTTTAGTTTCTAGTGCAAAAATTAATAAACTTAACCTTAAGAACTTTTAAGAGGTTGTTTTACGTCCATAATTTCTTACTATTGCTGAAATAGTTCTAGTTCCACTTATAATCTGCCCCTGGACCTAAATGTGTTTCTAACGTGGCACAAATTAAATATCATATTCCATTGGTAGATTATTTAAGACACAGGAAAATGTTTTGTTAAAGTGAAAAGAAACTATTTATCTGGTACTTCTAAAATAAAAATCAATGTCCAAGAATTATTTACTTAACTCCTATAACTTTTGAAAAGTTACTTATAAGTTAGTTGTTAGTAAGTTAAGTTAGCTCCACTAAGATAACTGCAACAGAAACTGAACCAAAAATCCTTAAGTTTTGTTTTTACAGTGAGTGATAACAGACTGCACTGCAAAAACACAAGATCTTACTGGCATTTTTGTTTAGTTTTTAGTGAAAACATCTTAGTGCACTTGAAATAAGACAAAACTAACTTACAAGTAACTTTTCAAAAAGATGCTTAAAAGGCTTGTTTTATATCAATTCCCTTATATTGATTTTCAGGTTTTTTGCACCTATCAGACATTTTGTCCTTGTTATAAGTGAAATAATTTACCTATGTAACTTGTACTTTTAAAAAAATAAATATTAGGGAATTATTGACTTAAAAGAAGCTCCTACTAGACATTTTATTTCAAATGCACCAAGTAGAGACTAGATAAAAACTGGTAGGATTTTGTGTTTTTGCAGTGCAGGGTCACCTGTATTACAGGAGTTAAATTAAAGATTTAAAAAAGCATCTGATCAGTTTACCTCATGACTTTCTCTGTGCTTTTTCAGAACAGTGCTCTCTCTGTGTGTGTGTGTGTGTGTGTGTGTGTGTGTGTGTGTGTGTGTGTGTGCGCGCGTGTGTGTTTTGCCGTCCGTTCAGGCTGCAGACACACAGGGAGGGACTTCTCAGGAAACAGAAACTTTGAGTGACGGATCTGGTTTCCCAGCCCCCACACCTCCACCCCCCTCCATCACCTCACTCTGTGCGTTTTCTACCTCTGACACGACAACAACGCTTCCCCGGCTGCTGCCAGCTTCAACCCTATGGGGGGAAGATGGGGCTGTGGACGCTGCTTCTCCTGTTCCTACACCTGGGTAAACTCACCTGCCTTCACTTCGAAACATCTCTGAACCTCTGTTGGACTTACTAGATAAAATTAACACTAATTTGTTGATGTTCTTTAGCGACTCTTATTTCCAGTAAACACTTATATTTACTCACTTGAGTAACTTTTTGAAAAAATTTACTTTTAACTACGCTGTATTTCTTAAAGTAAATAAATTACTCCTGTAAGAGTAAAAAAAAAGCTACATAGTTATCATTTATAAGCAAATTATAATATTTTAAGGAGCAAAACGATAAAAACAAATCATGTAAAATGCAATGCAAAGTAACAAGTTCCAGAAAAATACACTTTTCCAATAAAACTTATACTAATACTATGGAATATAAGGGGAGTTATCAGTAGAAGTAGTTCTACTCTTATTTTTCCCAGTTTTTGGCTACCTCTGCTTATTGTTTTTTAACCAGAAGAAAATCTGTATTTTGTTTTTGCGTGTTTTTTAAATGTTTCTGTGCATGTTTCAGCAACAGACTGCGTTTCCCTCTCAGCGCCGGCCAACGTTTCCATCACCTCCTACAACATGGTGCACATCCTGAGGTTCTGGCCGGACCCGCAGACACCCCCAGACGCCCGCTTCACGGTCCAGATCCACAGCACCAGGTACAAATTCACTGACCTTCTTCAGAAGTTCAACACAGAGTGACTCATTCTAACTTTAAAAGTAGGTTTGACACCTAAATAGTGGATGTGTGAAGGTGTGACCATATTTGGAGTTTAACCCTTCCTCTTGTGTTGTTGTTGCACCAACAGTTGCCAGGTAAAATAACCAGAGAAGGTTCATTCCTGAGCAAATTTTCTGTTTCTTTTGGTTGAATTTCCAACAATTTGAGTATGTTTGTCTAGTTTGTACCTCAAATATTTTTTAGTTCAATTGAAATAAAGCAAAACTAACTTGCAAGTAACTTTTTAGCAAGTTCCATAAGTTTGTTTTAAGTCAATAATTGCTTGATATTTATTAAAAAGTGCTAGTTACAAATAACAAAATCTGCCAGTGGAGCAAAATATTATAACTTTTATTATGGGAAAAATGTCTAGTTCCTCTGGAAGATTATTTCACTTATAACCAGTATTTTTAAAAATCAATATTATGAAATTAATAACTTAAAACAAGCTTCCAATTCTTGTTGAAAAATTACATGCCAGTTAGTTTTGTTTTATTTAAAGTATGCCAAAGTATTTGCACAAGAAAGTAGACCAAAATACTTTTGTTCACTGGATTCAGATACGTCACAAAGAACTTTTGTGACGTATTTTACACCACAAATTACAACAGGAAATGTAAATGTCAGCGTCGTTTTGATGCTTCTTCCTGAAGAGTTTGAAAAAAAAATGTATCCTTTTACTGCTGATGGTACCATTTTTATGAATTTACAAAGAATTGGTAAAGGAATTTTGTCAAAAAAGAGGGGAAATCCAGTCTTACTTCACAGCAGAAACTATGTTCAGAGTTTGAAGGTGGACCTTAGCTCATTAAATTAGCATTTTGAAGGTCAGCTTAGAGTCTTTAGTTGATTTTATCTCCTACAGACATAAAAATCAAATTTTGCCACCAGAAGGTTCAATAATTACTTTAATGTGTTTGTTTGGAGGTGACATTTTCATCTATTTTTGTTTGAATGTCTGATAAAGAGAATGATGCTGTGGGCTCTCCATTAAATGGATCCACAACTAGAAATAATGTAATATACTTTATTGATCATATTTGTTCACAAGCTATTCCATCCAAAATGTTAAATATTAGTAAATACAATATAACCAAAAGCAATATAAAATGTATACAAAAAACAATAAGTGTTATATTGGAAGCTATTTAAATATGACCAAAATATAAAATAAATAATCAATAACATAAAAATATGTTAATCTATAAATGATTCTAAGGATTGTGAAACATGTTGGCCTAAATATGTGTAATGTTTATCTAAAATTTTGTATTTTTTACATATTTTTACTATATTTTTCGCCTACAGAGGGCGCCATTTTATCACCGGCGAAATGCCTCTCCGATCACTGTAACCAAAACCATTAGCAGGAGCTAAAGTAATTAGCTAGAGCTAGCGCGAAGCAAAACAAACAGAAATTTAACAAGTAGATGTCTACAATTAAAGTTCTATAGCAAACAAATCTAATACATCTGAGAAAATGTTTTGATCCTACCGTAAACAGCTTGAATTTAATTTCCGGTTAGCATTTTCAAGCTAGCAGCGGCACAAACATGACCGACTTTCGGCTCTCCCTCCGTCTGGTCCTCCTCATCCTCCTTCCCCTTCTTCACATTTCTACATTCCCATCTGTTTCAACTCGCTTCGGTTGAAATTAAGCGAGCTGAACGGAGTGAAAATATCTTTTCACGCTAGGCGGAGCTAGCAGATTAGCGCCAGAATGTTCAGGAAGTACTCTAAGGGGTTTCCAATGGAACCAGTCACCGTGCAGTTTTGTCTGGTTATTATGTAAATTAAAGATCAGATTCTTCTTTTTAATATTAAAAAGAAAGAAAAGTTGGTGAATGTTTCCGTTGAGACTTTATATGAGCTCTTTTGAATGCTTTCGATGCCTCAGAGTTGTTCAGGAAACAGATCGAGACTTGCCTGTTAGGTGTGATTCTTCCACACAAACCAGATTACATCATTCTGGATTTTTAACATAATTTTCTCTGTGCTTGTTTTTCCTAAAATGAAACCAGTAAGCAGTAAACAATCCTATGATGCTTTTTGGCAAGGTTTAACTGGTTCCTGCTGAGAAAATCAGCTGGAACAATCTGGTGACGTCATTATTGAGGTCAAAGGTGAACATTTGAGTTGGGAATTTTTCAGTTGTTGGAATATTAATGTAAAATATCCAAACAGGATAAAGAAGAGGCTCATCAGATTTTATCATCTGATTTATATTGTTCGCTTTAAGGCATTTTCTAGAGGAAGAAATTGTTGTAATCTGCTGTTTTCCCAAATGAAACCTTTATTTTTTTAAATTGGTGAAATTCTGCATATGAAGAGTCAAAAATAAGCATTACAAAGAGGGAACTGATGTTGAAGACTGAAATACTCAAAACGCCTGAATGAAATGGAGCCAGAAATGTGTATACTGGTATTTCTTTTCCAGATTTGTTTTTCATTTGAAATAATCATAGAAATTAACCTCTACCTAAAACTGAGACTGCAATTTTAGAAGCTGACACTGAAAACTACACACATAGCCAGGTGTTATGTTTGAGGTTTATGAGCTTTTTCATATTTGGTTTTCGTTTCAACCAATCACCTTTCAGCAACATTTCAGATGGTTTCCTCACTCTCACCCACCCAGTTCATCCAGATGGCAGATTAATGAAAACACATAATTTCAAGAAAATCTAGAATGTTTTCATCACAATCTGGTCCTATTTATACAAAATATAAAGTTTAGAATAAGAAATATTTGCCTAAATTTAGCTGAAGTGCTCATTCAAATTAGCATTTAATTACTATTTATTGCAGTTCAGGTCAATCCAAAGTCAATATGTGGATATTCCACAGTTTTGTTAAATGGGAAAAAATGTAAGCTTTAATTGAATTGATCCATTAGTTAGATAAACATTTTTGTAATTCTACAGCTAAAAATATGATTTAAATAAAAATCTTTTTTCTTTCTGCATTTTGGACAAAATAAGAACCAAATTTGGATTCACAAACAGTTCTGCTGACCTGAAATCAACATAAAAGCAATCTGGTGATATTATATTTACATAATATAATCTATTTACTGATGCAACAAGTAGCTAAAACAAATTTTTATTTGTGAATGTGTTGTATGATAATTCATACTTTGCTGCAGCTAATAGAACAATATGAAACAGTGAATATGTCTGAGGTTTGTGGAAATGAGTGGAGACACTGATGTGAATTGGTAAAAGCTCAAGAGGTTTTTAAACATCCACTCAAACATCAACATCCCTCATTGCACTTTGATGTTTCCATTATTTCTCCACAGAGCCGCTCTTAAGTTTCGTTTCTGTTTCTTGGAGCTTTTCTTTCTGAGTGATTGTGAAAGTTTCATAAAAGCTGTGAGTTTCCTGCCTCAGCATTTAGGAAACATTAATATCTGTAGTGCAACACAACAACCCTCGCTCCGTTCTAACTGTCTGTTTGCTTTCTCTGTGTAGGAAGCAGCGATGGAAAACGGTGGCTGAGTGCGCCGAGCTGACGGCCGGACAGACATGCAATCTAACCAGCAAACTAAAGGACACGTTTGGCTACCACATGGCCCGAGTCCAAGCCTTCAGGACCAACCAGACCTCCAGCTGGACCACATCAAATCTGTTCCACCCTCTGGCAGACAGTGAGAGAGCCGAACATCATCATACAGACCTGACATGTCTCAACAAAACACATGAACACAGAAAACATCAGATTTATTGTTAGGATCATTTGTTTACCAGTCATTTTGTAATATGATGGTACGATTTATCTGTTTTCTCCAATATAAATGACCATAAATTAATGCGTGACAGCAATCGCAAACATTGCACTACACACTGCAAAAACACAAAATCAAGTAATTTGGTTTAGTTTTCATTGCAAATATCTTATTGCAACCAAAAAGAGACAAAACTAACTGACATCTGACTTTTCAGCAAGATATACAAGCTTGTTTTAAGTCAGCAACTCTTGAATCTTAATGAAAAGTACAACTTCCACTGGCAGATTAATTCACTTATAAAATGGGAAAAATGTCTTGTTTTTTGTACTGTAATCTGAACCTGGTTCAACCTTTAGTCATAGTAGTATAGTATAGTGTCATCAGCATATAAAGTGACATTTAGAATGTTTGTAGCATTACGTATGTGATTTAACCACAATTTAAAAAGTTTTGAGCCAAAAAAAGAGCCTTGTGGTTCCTCTGACTTAACTGTAACAATTTATTCTAAAATTTGGTGAGAAAAATCTGCCAGTGAATGATTTGACTGTCCCTAATTTGACAATATCAGCAGTTAAACTGTTAATATTTCTCACATTTAAAGTGTAACTGGAGCTTTTTCTGAGTTTAAAAGCCTTAAAGCAGATTTATGTTTTCTTCTCCGCAGCCGTTCTGGGGCCTCCGGAGTTTTCCCTATCCGGCTGTGGGAACTGTTTGGTCCTGCAGATCCGAGACGCCCCTGGGACTCTGTCCTATCACAACGCGGAGCTGAAGGACCTGCAGAAGGAGATGGAACTGAACGTGAGGAGAACCAGGGACGGTGCCGAGGTGAGAGTTCCTGACAAAAATCCAGTTTATCCAGTTTTCACAACAGTTTCCCTTCCGTTTTTCTCTCTTTGGATGTGAATATTCTTCATTTGGGTTTCATAATCTTTGCTTTGAAAACAAATTTTTCTGGACAATCAAGTTAGTGCAATAAATGATAATATTGCTATTTTGAGCTAATTTTCAAGTTAAAAATGCAAGTAAGTTCACCCTCTCAAAGTTCAATAAACTTTGATTTCTAATGAATATTTGACATTGGAACTGGACGACATTTTTAATGTCGAAAATAAAGAAACAAAACAACAAATAGAATGAATATGGAAGTTTTAATAAATCAGTCTGAATCCACTGTTTTTGCCTCTTTTTTTACATTTTAATCTCTAAAATTAATGAAAAGATTCAGCTAAAATGAAACATAAACAGATAGATCATGACTTATTACAGACATTGTAATCTATTGTTATGGTATGGAGGTATGGACTGGTGAATTTAACCGATGCTTTAGTTTTAACTCTGGAATTGATCATTTTGCAACTTCAACCTTTAATATTTTGTGTTTTTTATCATTTCATACCTTTTTCTCCACAGGACATTTTGTATCATCCAAATGTTGGTTGTTATTTGCTTTGATTAACAATATTTAGATTCTCTCTAACTTGTTATCTGTGTTTACAGTGACGTCGTGATAATCCACCAACGTTTGGGTTTTTATTATTGTTAGTTCTGTCTTACTATACTGAATTGTGTCAAATTCCTTTTCTTTCTATTCATTCTGGTTTTGACTCTTACGTTTTCCTCCTTGGTTTTGTTACTTTAGATTTGTGGATCGGCTTCCTTAGTGTTTGGTATTCTCCTTCTTTTCGCTTTCTGCTTCCTCTGATTGGTCTCACTTGGTGTTGCCGTTGCCCTCTTCTCCTCTTCAGTATTTCAGCTGCTTGGTTTTATTGCTTCTTGCTGGTTTCTCCTGTTACACCATCTGAATTTGAACCAGTTTTTCTGACAATGAGTGTTCTGGGCCATGTCTCTACCAGCTGAGTTTTTCTGCTTCTTTTTCTCCAGGATTGCCAAGAATGTATCTCTGTCATGAATATAAATGCATGTGACTTTTTTCCTGTTTTTTTCTTCCATTTAACAAAACTTGAAGGAAACAGAATAAAACCAGGTCAGATCAAAATGGCACTGTGTAGCTACTTCATGTAGCTAATACCTAATCCAGTTGAATACTTTGTAAGTTGGGATTTTGTAATGATGCAAAATGTGAAAATATTCAATTGGTGTGAATATTTTTACAATGTACTGGCTGTGACTACAATCAGGAGTCAGATCTTGTCATATTTCTTATCACTGGCTGCAGACAAACCCCAACCAATGGTGGCCAGTTAGAATGTACAGCTAATATGTAGTTAAAACACACATAAAATTCAGCATTTTAAGCTATTTTAAAAGAGGAATAAGCTGAATGCAGTGGTAAAATTTGTAAAAAAATAAATAAATATGCTTTTTGTGGTTTCAAATAAAATGGCAAAGCGTGGGTGTGAATACTTTAAAGGTTGAACTGACCCAGAGCCATTAATTTCTGAATCTTCGTGGTTCTCCGGCCGGTTTGTGATGAGCTGAGTTTGGTTTCTGGTTGTTTTCGTCCTCTCCGGGTATTTTACAGCCTTCATGTCATCATTTTGATGTTTCCCCTGTGGTGGTTTTTTCTCTTCATCATGTGATGTTTTTCAACTCATCTTAAGACCTGCTGATGATGTCTTGTTTTCTTATTTAGCAGAGTTAAAAGTTTGACAACTTCACCAGCTTAAAAATTGAAAATAACAAGAATTTAAAACAGGCATGTTGATGATTTTGTTTAAATATTTTTGAGCTGATCAAACTGTGCTCTCAAACCAAACTGCAGTTTCTTTACTGAATAAACTGAAACTGATCAGTCTAACCCCTGAACTCTTGACTCCTGGTTATGCTTGACATTTCCTGTGTATCAGAAAGTGATGCACTCCACCATTTCACAGAAATTACAGGAAAAAACCTGGTTGTAAAAGGCAATTAATAAATTAATTTTGGCGATATCACCATATTTGAGACTTGCTGCATATATTTGAAGACATCTTATTATTTTCATTAAGAAATATGCATAATACATTAATTGTTTTTACCAAAATATTTGTGAAAATAATGTGACAAAATATGATTTTTAGAAAAAGGGAGAGAATCACTTACAGAAAGTTGGATTTTCACCAAACTGAATTGACATTTTCATACTTTTTTCTTTTACAGTTTAAATTTTATGATTATTTAGCAACTTTACCGAAATCGTGTTCTGCTTAGAGCAGTGCTTCTCAAATAGTGGGGCGGGCCCCCTTTGGGGGGCGCGGTGCGATACCTGGGGGGGCGTGTGATCCTGGGGAACAGGCTTTTTTTTTGGCCGTACTAGTATAAAGTGTAATTGCGCACAGTAGGCGGCAGTGGCGCTCTCATTGTTACTTCTGTCACGTTTGCGACAGTGCAACATTTTTCGACTTACAAGACAACAGGTTTGCCTTGGTTAGCAATGTTAAGTCAACAAAAAGCTCCGACTGCGTTCTGTCTCTGGCCTCCGTTATTCAACAACCCCCAACATGAAAAAGTTTTTCACAGGGATGAAAAGAAAAGCGGAGAGAGACAAAGATAATGAGACAACAGAAAGTCAACCGAAAGCTAAGAAGAGGAAATACGACGAAGCGTATTTAGCGCTTGGCTTCACTGTGACTACAGTTGGAGAAGAGGAAAGACCGGTGTGTTTGCTGTGTCTAAAAATGCTCGCAGCGGACAGCATGAAGCCAAATAAATTAGCGCGTCACTTAAATATGTTACATCCCAATCACGCCGATAAGCCGCTAGAGTTTTTTCAGCGAAAAAAATGTTAATAAGGAAAAAATGTTATGCAGAGATGGATAGTCACGGTGGGGAGTGGGGGGCGCAAATAGTTTTCTTCTTGCTAGGGGGGGCGTAACGGAAAATAATTGAGAAGCACTGGCTTAGAGTGAAGTATTCCTCCAATAATAACATTCGGTTGTTGTTCATGTTATTGGTGTGATGAGAAAAAAGTTTCCATTACGGCAAAAACACCTCGTCATCCCTGCACCAAAACTTTTTATCAAACAATGTGATTTTTTTTTTATTGGCACATTTCCCTTAAGCTAATTTATTTTTGAAATGTTAAATTGTGAAATTACTTTGTTAATGGAAACATATTTAATATTCTGATAAGGTAAAAAATAAACATCAAGCACAATTACGATGTTTCCATTACATAAGAAACTCAATTAAAATCACACGTGAAGAAGTTTGTTCATGCAACGATATAAATCGTTAAAATCAGTTAAAATCATGCTGCGCCATTGTCCTCCAACTACTTCCTGTTCTCATTTCCATTGTTTCTGCTGATAGTAACCCATTAACATTCACAACCTCCACAACCAGCAATTGTAATGTTTTTGTTAAATAAGAAACCCAATTTAAATCACCCATAAATAAGTTTGTTCTTATAAGTCATTAAAATCATGCTGTGTCTTTGTCCTCCAACTACTTCCTGTCGTCTTCCTCTTTGTAGATTCTGTTAGTGGCGACATCTGGTTGTTGGTCAGATGACTTCTGTGATGTGAATAAATTGTTTCCATTTCAATATTACGAAATAAATCAGTTTCAATAAAGCAATTAAAGCACCAAAACCTCCTGATGAGTTTTTCTAAATTATTGTGTTTCCATTCAGCAAATTTATCTTCAAAATGTCAAGCTGGGCAACTATTGCAACTTTTCATTCTATTTCATTCCTCCTTTATTTTCTTTATTACAGTTTAATTTTATTTTCCTACCAGTCTTCCACATGACCATCTTCATGCTCTCTTTGGTGACGTTTTGTCGTTTCTGTTCTGTATTTCAGTTCACACTGAAGCAAACCTACCAGCAGGAGACCGTGATCCAGTACCTGCAGCCAGGTGTGGAGTACTGCGTCTCCGTCTCCTTCAAGTCCCTCATAAACCGGAACAGCGTCCCCAGCGAACGCCGCTGCGCCTTCACCAGTCCTCCTCCACCCCAGCACACATGTATGCTCCTTCAAATTACTTTATTTCTGCATCTGAGTGTAAAACGTCTGATTAGTTTTGCTGTTTTGATGTGAATATTTGGGGTTCTGATTTGTCTCGTCCTGCCGTCCCTCAGTGTTCCTGGTCCTTGGCCTGTTGGGGGGATTTACTCTTGTGGTGGTCATCGTTGTGGGCCGGTTCATCTTCAGCAGAAAGGTGAGCTTGGAATTACTGAGACGACACCTTAACAGGTCAGTTCACACAAAGAACACCCTGTTGGGACTCAAAATGGCCGCTTTGGTTACTTTAAAGTAGGAATAACTCAGGAGGAACTCAGAAGATCAATCTCTGGTCGGCTGATGAATATATTAAATTGCTTTATTTTTGTTTTAGTTCAGTAATTTAATGCTCAGAAATCCAAAACAACATTTAGCATCTATTAGAAGTTGATGGAAAAGCTTAAATTTCATTTAGTTTCTCTTGATTCAGTTTGTTGATTATCTTAAAGGTTGTAAATTTATGTTAATTTTAACTGAATAAATGTAAAAAATAGAAATAAAAAGTTGTTTTTGAATGATTATTTTATTTATGAACGAAAAATAGCTTTCCAAGCCAACCAACTATTGACTGAATTTAATTAGATAACCTACAGTATATTTAATTGTATTTTATTTTGGAAAATTTGATTGGAAAGTGTTTTAATTTTAATGCTTCCTGTTGTAATAAAATTCTGGATCATTTTTGTCTTTAGTGATTTTTTTAAAGTTTAGCATTGATAGGAAAGTGCAGTTAAACATTAATTTAGCTTTTTTTGTGCACCAGTTGGGAAAAATATGACTTTTAATCAGATCTTTTTGAGTTTAATGATGGATGTTGTGGTTAAACTTCAATAATTCAGCAACACAAGCATCCTGAAATGTGATATTTTTTTTGTTTTTGTTGTTCTTTAGGTTAAAAATCAGCATCTGTCCTGCATGAAGTTCAAATCGCAGCCCTACACCTGCCTGACGTCGTCTCTGACAGAGGAGGACAGTTTCTAAAGCATCCTGAAGAAACTGGAGTTCAGTTTCTTTGAGTTCCTCTACTGGAGGGAACTTTTCTTTTATCCCTCTCCAGGCAGGTGTTGCAGATTTGCAACAACTTAAACAGTCTTTTGAAGTAATTTGAGCCTGAGAGGGTTTACTTTTATAAGCGAGTTGTACTCAGGACATCTTACCTCCTCAACTGCCAGAGGACATTTTTATACAGTTGCTGTAAAATAATCACTGTTAATCAGCACAAAGGGTTTAATTTATCTTTTCTCACTGAGGTTTATTTTAATTTGCTTTAGTTAAAATATGTTTGTTTTTTTTCTTGAAGAAATTTCTGCCAGTGTGTTTTAACCCTTCAGGAAAAGAATGTATGTTTAGTGTGTAAAAATATATTTCTTATTATTTTGTTGGAAAATAAAAAATGATTTATGGTTTTGGAAAAGATACCTGCACTTTTTTAAACCTGTGTTTTGGATTTCTGAGACAAATGACACGTCTGTAAAAGAATCTGCACAAACACAAACTGCTTTTGGAGTTTATCAACAAGAAACGGCTACTGAGGTAAGAAATCAAACAATTGGATCAATAATCCAATGATATTTAAACTCTGGTGAAAAATCTGAGCAGATTCCTATGAAACTGGGATTTGAGAATAGCCAAACTTTTTGTCACAGAAAAATATCTTATTTGTTCTTTATGGAAATTCTTCTCGATGTCTGTGCAGGAGCAAATTTCTGAGCCTTTTAATTGATTGTGAATGCAATAAAAATGCAATAAACTGAGAATTTTCCTAGACTTTTTTTCATACATTTGTTTTTTAAATTATAATTTACTGCCAATAATTGGGAATACTTTATAATGTTGTAAGAATGTATTAATTCATGTTACAGAACACAAATGTTATTATTGAAACATAGATATATACTGAAGAAAGTTTATCTTTTAGCTAAATATTTAGCTTCAGACTAAATATTTATCTTGTTTACTAAATATTGAAGCTAAATATTTAGCTTGATAAGTAAATAGATATTGAGCTTCAAAATAAAGACTTATCTTTCTAAAAATATATTTAATTCAAAGCTAAATATCTTTAGAAGATTAAATATTAGTTTGAAAGTAAATATTAGCATGCTACTTAATATTTAAACTAATTGTTTTAGCAAACTAAATATTTAATTTCATAATAAATATTTAGTTTGATTACTAACTTATTTTAAAACTGGCATTAATAAATTAATACTTTTAAAAATAAAGCCATTTTTAAATCTTTTTACAGGCTAAATAATCCAATTAAAATTACTGCTGTTAATTTGTAGACCTCTCTGTGTTTGACCTGAAATAAATTAACTTTTTGACGGTACTCTATTTGGAAGCTTTTATTTCGAAAGGTTACCGTAAGGGTCCGTATAAGCGCGCAGCAGAAAGGAATCCGAGGTGCGAGCTGCCGTAACGTCGTGTTTCCCTGAAGTGAAAAGTGACTGAGTGTACGTGAAACGTGACGTGTCCACGCTAAAATTATTATACATTTGTTTCCGCGTATTCCCCCCACCTTCGCCTGTTGTTGATGAAAGCAAACGGGAACTGAATGAAACGGCGAGTTTTAAACGACCAACCCTGGGACTCGGGACTGGACGGTGACCGAACCGGGCCGAACCGAACCTTCGGATCAACATGCCAGCCGCTGTTTGTGTTTTCATTCTGACACTTTCGACACTAATAGGAGGTAAAGTTCAGCCGTTTCTGTGGGTCAGTGAACGTATTACCGTAACTATAGGGGAACAATGGAGGACTTCTATTCTTCTGTTATTTTAGGGTTTTAATTGGTTTATTCCTGATAGCTTTCAGGGTGGACTGAGATATTGTAGTTTAATTCAGGTTTTGGTTCAAATGTGTAACCAAAAAGGGTCCTTATACATTTTTCTATTTCATTATCTTCTGGCTGATAAGTCAACAGATTAGATTTATTTATTAAGGAAACTATGAGAAATTACATCCATGTCACAAAAATTACACTACAAGCATGTATAGATGTCCAAAGTGCGGCCCGGGGGCCATATCTGAGTCCTGGACTGATTTTGTGTGGCCACTAACTTCAGTTCAAGAATAATGTAAATTTGCTTCCTCAGCTCAATGCAGATGGTTATAGTTCTTATTTGGGCAAAATTATTACCAACAATTTTATATTTTGCAATGGAAAATATTAGGTATATCTCAAAGATTTCATGATGTTTTTAAAACCAAGCTTGCAAGATAAACAGAACATATACCCAGTAACTTTTACTAAAACGTTTACTTTAGTGCACCCAAATATTATTTTAATTAAATTATACATATTACATGCTAAGATTATTACTGAGCAGGTAAATAATAGTTTGTAATATACTTTTGGGTTTATTCCCTAAATACCTAATGTGACACTATTGATGTGAACAGTTAAAAAAGTCTTCTATTTGCCAGGACGTAAAGTTTTTCAACAAAGAAATATTCCATTTATTGAAATTTTTTTGTAACATGTAAAATGTTAGACAAAAACATAGAGAGTAAACGTAAAGCTCTGGTTTTTAAAAATTATTACATTAAAAGGAAAAGAAAAAGTCAACTAACTTAGGCCCAAGCCCTAAACCTAATATTGGTTGTTCCACCTTTGACAACATCAAGTATTTTGTTGTTGACTTACCATCCAGAAATTACTTGCTGGGGCATTCTTGTTTATTGTGCAGAAGGCTCCACTTCTGCTTTTCAAAGATGTGTTGTTTCATAATAGCACATCCGTTTGCAGCCATTTTCACATGTGAGTTATTTGAATTTAAAGTGACAAGATGCTCTAAAACAGCTCAAACATCCTCTATTCTGAACTGTACAGACTAAGATCTGATTATGTAACAATGATTTAATGCCTAAAATATAATGAACATGTTTTGTATCTCATAGAAGTGTCCTAACCTGTTCAAGGAAGCATAATAGAAAGTGGTAAATAATCAGCTGTGAGCAGGAGAATCTGATGCCGTTCTTAACTTTATTCTCGGGTCTGCAGTTGTATCAGGAGTCCTTAGCAGTCCCACCAATGTCCAGGTGACCTCCAGGAACCTGAACCTGATCCTGAGCTGGGATCCACCTGCAGACGCACCCAGCGGATTGATTTACACCACCGAATTAAAGTAAGTTTAACTTCTATTCTTCTTCGAACAGAGCTTCCTCTGCAAGTGGCTGTTCTGGTTTAGCTCTATTTGAAGGTTTTCCCAACTCTTGAAGAAACACTCCCAGAAGGTTTTGGAGAAAATTAGCAACTGTTTGCAGCAGAAGATGGAGTCTTTCTGTGAAGGAACAAAAATATATTTTGAATTATAAACCAACATAGATCGTTTTCTCTCTTTCTTGGCATATTAGCCTCACTTTCATTGCAAATGTGTGCAAAACTTTGTCAATATTCCACTAATGTTGGAAAATCACAATTTCATAATTGCAGTGTTTCCATTAGATAATAAATGCAACTAAAATCGCACAGTTTTGTATTTGTTCACAAGATAAGTCCTTACAAAACATGCCACGCCATCATCCTCTAATTACTTCCTGTCGTCTTCTTCTTCGTAGTTTGCACCGATGTCTGGTTGTTCATTATGCGACTCGTGTCCTGTGACAAAAGTATTTCTTTTGCAGTTTTGCCTTCTACACCAATTTCGATACGACCAAAAAAAACACTTCATGCTGGCACCAAAGCTTTTTATCAAAAACAATTTTCAAATTACGCAATTATGTGGTGAGTGGAAATGCAGCTACTGTCTTCTACACAGTCATCAAATGTCTGAGATGTTAAGTGGCTGGAATTTTCTTTTAAAAATCGCATTTACATTCATAGTTGAACTAAACAGGAAGAAAGCCTGTGTGCATACAGATGTTAATGTTGTTCTGCTTCTCTGCAGTATTGCATCCTCTATTCTGATAAGCTGGTATCAGTTTCCAGAAAAGCTGCCTGTTGGGAGTTTCTGAACGTTTCGCTGCATCTTCCGTAAACAGAAAACATGGTAACTGAAAGTTGGAGTCGATGAGAGAAGTTTTTTGTTATGAATCAGGATTTTCTTCTGGGAAAGGAAGACGGCAGTCTTGTGTTAAAGAGCAAGAATCAGCCAGAATTGTACTTCCTTGTTTACAGCTAGCGGTTCGCACAAGATGGTGTGGATCACTTTGTGCGTTTTGCATTGTGAAAAGCACAAAGTGACTTCTGTCCAAGAAATTGATAAAGTCTAACTTTATCAATTTCTTTAATCATTTAGGAAAAAAATTTACCCACTCATCTCTCCAGTATCACTTCACCTCATTGAAGTTTTCACAGCATTTCAATCAGGCCGAGGTCTTGATGTTCACTGGGTCATGGCAGAACCTTTATTTGTTTCTTGTTCAGCCATTCTGTTGTAGATCTGCTGTTGTCTCAACTATCTAGGAGATCAGAGTCGACTTGGTGAATGCAGACTGCCCTGGTTGTAAAACAGACCCAAATCTTCTTCAAACATGGCGATGTGTATTGTGCCCAGACATCTACATCGGTTCCAGCTGTTCCAATGACATTGTCCATTCGGGAACAACTTTGCACAGATTCATACGACTCTAACCCTTCCATACAGACCGTCTATTTAAGATTCATCATTCTACAGAAAGGCAGTCTTTTCAAGAGCGTAATCTCAGACTCTACTGGTCTTAGTTAGCTTGTTAAATGAAGCATCAGTTGCAGTTGAATGGATTCAGCTCCTCCCAGAACTGTATTGACAGCTGCTGTTGTCAAATTGGTTTTTAAACCGGCTCCTTGGCTTTGACTAGTTGTCCTTTATAAATGCTTGTTTTATGATTTGTTTGCTTTTTTCCTTTTGTTATCAAACTGTGTGTCATTTCATTGTTTGTTTTGTCTCAGGAGTTCTATTGGATTCCAAAAACCAGGTTGTGTGAACATCACAACCTTTCAATGTGAACTCAGCAATTTTGGCATCAGTTGGTATGGGACATACATTGGGAGAGTCCGGGCTCTGCTGGGAGAAGAGGCCTCAGCCTGGGTGGAGAGTAAAAACATCACTTTGGATAAGGAGAGTAAGTCTTTAACACACATACCCCAAAAGTACACTTAAGCATCGGTTTTAGATCTGGCAACAAAAGCGATTGGTGGTGCATGTTTCCAAGCAATCCAGAAATCAAGTCTGATCTTTTTCTTTGCAGCCCTGATCAGTCCTCCCAGTGTGTCACTCTTATCCGTCGGTCAAACTCTGGAGGTCGGCATTAAGGACCCAGAGTTTAATATCTCCTCTCTGAGGAACGTGTACAGCAAAGTCAGCTACAACATCACCTACTGGAAGGAAGGCCAGGAGGAACAGGTGAGATGCAGGTTAATGGAAAACCCAAATGTTGATCAGGTTACTGGGTGCATGTGAATTCAACACCAACATGCCCAAGGTGTAGTACAGCTGTTTGTCTGGCTGATTAGACTCGTAGATATTGCCCTCTGCTGCCACCTGCTGGAGTTTTAGAGAAACAGCAGCAGTTGATCAACAGCATGTCCGTCTATCCATCTCATCATTGATTGATTGATCAATCTGCCTGTCTGCCCATTTATCTGTACATCCAGTTTTATCTCCATTCATCCATCTATCGATCCCTTCATTGATCCATCCGTTCATCTGCCTGTCTATGTCCCACCATCCATCCATCTCATTATCCTTTCATCCAATTGTATCTTTATCCATCCATTTGTTCTTTCATTGATTAATCAATTGATCTGCCTAACTATCTGTCCATCCATCCACCCATCTCTTTATTCATCCATTCATGGAAGATTGATTTCATTGATTATCACCTGGTTTCCTCCACCAGTCTGAGACCTGATATTATGTGGCTGCTTCAAACTGACCTCCTCTCTGTCACCCCCTACAGGCGAGAACCCACATGAACATCAAACAGGACCGGGTCGTTTTAGACAACCTGGATCCCTTGACCAAGTACTGCGTACAGGTCCAAATCATCACCTTCGGAAACAAGAACCCCAGCGAGCCCAGCGTCGTCCTGTGTGAGAGGACCAGAGACACCGGTACGCTCTTTGTGTTTGACAGTAATCAGTGAGGAAGTCCATAAGGACAGAACAGGGACGCAACTTATCAATTAATGAGTTGATCTACAGTTGATTGATCTGATCAATTGATTAATGACTAATTGATAAGCAGCTATTTTCTTAACAACATGAGCTTTTTCTTGTGTCAAGGAATTCAACCCGCCTTCATAAAGGCTTCATTTTTCACTATATGCTGCATTTAAAACTAAGAACATCAATATATTTTGACATTTTCTTGAGTCAGTTCTATTATTTAATGATTTGAAATCTTTTCGAATCACTGAATTAATTCCTAACAATGACAGCCTGAGTAGGGCTGGGTGACATAGACTTACAGCTTCATTACAATATTTTGTAGTATTGTTGCAATAACAATAACTGTGACAAACAAACTATTTAATATATTATTTTTAAAATTTTTGGTATTTATTGATGCTTTCACTGAACAAACAGTGGAGCAATTGGTAAAATTATGAATCCTGACAGTAAGGACTTTCTTGATGGGAGGTTAAACTTCCTTAATTAGAATTATTAATTTAAGCTTTTGTCGTAAGAAATTTATCACAATTCATGATAAACAAGATGATGAATCCCTGCCCCTAAACCTGAGTAAAGTGAAGTTTGTTCTAATTTTATGTTCAGAGGTGGAAAAGTTCTCCAAACCAATCACAGTCTCTGTTTCAGACAACTCTCCGGTGGTTGCAGCTGTGATCGCATGTGTCGTCATCGCGGTGGCTGTGGCTGTAACAGCGCTGGTCGTAGTGAAATGGAAAAGTATTTCCCATTTCTTATGGCCAAAGAATTCTCTTCCGCGGGATTTTGAAAAGGTGTGACTGCTTTCAGAATTTCTGCCTTGGATTTGAGATTGATGTGATCTAACATCATGCTCCTTTCTGCTCCCCCAGTTTCTGCTGGCTACACCAGAGTCCTCTGTTGTTTTAATCACGCAGCCCAAGGAGGAGATCGCCCCGGTGAGCGTCGTTACAGTCGAGGAAGGGAGCCCTGAAGGCACAAAAGAGAGCAGCTACTCCAAACAGCTAAATGGCACAATAGGGGATAGCTGTTTACTCTGAGATTAGGTCGACATCCTGCGTGTTGATGTGACTGCAGACGACCACAAAGACTCAATGAAACGGAAGATTGTGATTTTGACACAAACTCCTGAACAATGTGATTGTAAACGGATATATGCCGTCATCTTACAAACTGTTTATTTACTGTACCTGTATTATAACTAGGTTTGTTATGGTGACATAAAGTGAACAGAACAAAACAGAGGAAATAACTACAAATGTCCACTACAGAGGAAAAAATTTTAACATTTAAATTCTGCAATAAAATACAGTCAAAACACTTCATAGAATGTGTTATTATGCTGCTAAGAGACTTATTCAGAATATGCCAGCAAAATCTTAAACCAAAATTTGCACAATATAAAGGATTATGTACTTTTTCTCTTCCCATGAAATGTGGTTGTACTGAAGGACATCATTTTTCTCTGAATGAGGAAAGGGAAGATTGAAAAGCCCCACCCCTTCACATTTGGTAACTGAATTTCAGCTTACAACATCAGTGTCCTCAGTCGGAGGCTTTTTTCAGAGCCACTGAATTGCAGATTGCCACAAGAGATCCTTTCTGCCCATTAGCACCTATAACAGCTCTTATAATATGAGTTACAACATCAAATTTCCCTGTGGCATCAATAAAGCATTAAGAATTAGAATTTTAATTTTATTTAAATAATTATTGAAAAAATGTATTAAATGCTTGGAGTTACAAATTTATTTCATCATTATTTTGTAAATAATGAATTAAAACTGATTTCCCTGTTTTTTTTTTTTTTGTAGTACTTTTGTCTAAGTGATATCGATCAATGCATTAGCCTTGTTTTATGGCTCAGATGTGCTGTCTGGAAGGTTGTATCAACAATTTCATAAAAGGCAGCTGCAGCATTTTCAAGTTACATCATATTAATATTTCACAAACAACATTCTGGTTCAGTCCCAATAGATGAGCAAGATGTTAAGTGTTTATAAGATGTGTCTATGGAAAATGTCATAATTATTGACAGTTTTTCACAGCCCAAATGGGACTGGATCAGCTTTGTTCTGTGTCTTTGCGTCGTGATTAGAGTTTTATTCTTTATAACATTAAAAAGGGTGAATGGTCTCTTGGTGGTAATGCAAGTAACAACCACAAGGGGGCGAAAGATGCAACCAAACACCATAGCATCTACTGTGAAGCTTCGAAGAGGAAACGCAGCTGGAGTCAGGAAGTTCGGCGTCACTTCGAGCTGGACTGATCAGCGCTGACAACATCCGAGCCAGCACAATGAAGACTTGATCGGAATTAAAAATAAAAGGTTTATATGGTCAAATATCAGCCATGTTGGCCTTAGTTCGCCTCTGCCTTCTGATTGTGTGCCTTAAGGGCAGCGCAGGTGAGTCTGTTTTCATGCTAACATTTGTTTGCTAACCTCATTCGGACCGATTGCAAGATTAACTATTTTAAATCATTTCTGTATGTTTATTGTGATCATCTTGGCAAGCCGAATGATTGTTAGCTGCTTTATTTTTAATTTTCTTTACTCAATTCTGCTATTGTTTGCTCGAAGAAGATTTTATCTGTTAAATGTTAAAATTGATCTGGTTTAAACGGAGTCTGGCATGCAAAGTTAAAGGAAACAGAAAGTATTTTTGTTCAATGACACTGCTGATTTCTTCCAATGTAATTATATTAAATGGGAGCTGTTTTGCTTTGTATGCTCATACTCTAATGTCACACCGGTTAGCAATAAACGAATCCAAAGCTCGAAGGTAAATGCACATTTCCTGGGCATTATATAATTCAGATAATGTTGTAAACTTACATTGGTTACACCCTTCAGCAATAATGGTCAAATTTCTTGGTAAAGTTTATGGCCCTGGTAAAGGAAGTTTCTGAACTGACCTGAGAGTTTTTCTCAAACCATTTCAGGTTAGATAAGATCTTGGTTTTTCTTTCTCAAATGAAAACAACTGGAGTTTGAACGACATGAATATTTTTTGTGGTTAATAATAAGAAACCAAAGCAGCTGATGGCTAATTTTTTTTTTTAATATATACATCTTTAAAAAAACATTTTCTTGTGATGCAGATCTTGAAGGTGACTCCACGTGGCTTCACCTTTAATGTCTCCATTCCCCCTCTTGCTTCTTGATTGACTGTACTGTCACATGCCACTCATACTCTCTGCACATTAACTGGAAATGTAACAACAAGAAAGTTTAATATCATAACTGGCTGGCAAATACATTGAAAGAAGCATTTTATACACAGTTTTGGTTAAATGAAGCTTAGAAACAACATTAGTAGACAGAAATAAATATTAAACTTAATTATATGTGGATTTATGGGTATTTTCTGTGTTTGTTTTTAGACCTGGTGTTTATGTAGGAGAACTACTTATTTTGGCAGAAACTGGGATAGTATTTTACTATTTTGATAGTAATTCTCGTGAAATAGGCGTAACATTCTTATTTATGCAACGATTTAAGCATAAAATTATGTTTCAACTGCTGAGATTTTAAGAAATAGTCTAAAAACTGTATTGCAGCATTAATATTGTTTTTAGGGTTTTTCCAAACTGTGATAAATAAAATTGGCTTATAATAAAACATTGTTTGCAAACCGAGGGCACATTTTTCCCAACAGTCACACCATTCTTTTCTAGCAATAGAGAGGACACTGTTAACCAACTTTCAAATAGGTTATGTAAAGTTCAGTATGCTTAATATTTTCCTGGAGTATTTTATCTCTTTTCTCAATTTGTCTGATGCATTAAAGTTTTTGATAAAGTGGCTGCTTGTTAAACTGGTTTCAACTCTTTACTGAAATAGAAATATAAAAATCTCATATCAACAACATGTGGGAAAGTTTTAGTTTTGAACAGTTTCGAAACGTGCGAAATGTTCCATCACAGTGGCTCCTGTGTGTCATAGTTAGTATCAGTCTTCATTTGGTTTTAGAGAAAACAGAGTCAGATATGACCGCATCTGGCTGAAAAAAATAATTGTGCATCTTTTTCATGTTTGTAGAAATTATCTGATCAATAAAACCCCTAAAAATCTATCTATTAAAACTAATGGAGCGCCCTTATTAAGTGAATGCTCATGTCAGACTACAGTTGCTTAATTGTTTTAGAAGAAAAGCAGTTAGATTATGTGACACAATTTAGTTTTAAATCTGTGTGTGAATATCTTAAGAAACAAGAGCGTTTCTTAAAAACGCTCTTGTTTCACAATTATCATGGTGACCATTACAATCGGTCTTCACTGTCATTATCATTTCTCTTGGTTATTAGCAAAAATGTTTGTTTGGAAGATAATTGTTGTATCGTCCTGATTCATTGACTGCCTGATAAACCAGCCAAGATTTTGTTGAATTGACTCTGAAAGTTCCTGCGACTGAGTTCCAGCTCATTGAACGCCCTGACGATTGAACATTTTCCCAGAAACAATGACTGGAGCTAAAGGAAAACCCCAATCGCTTCAAATCTGAGAACAACAGCAAGTTTTCCTCACAATGCATTCTCTGGACGAGGAACTCACCACAGAGAAACTCCTACAAGCTTAGAGAGGCGGCAGCCAACAAACTCAAATTTAACAAAAAATATTATGAATAATAAAAGCATGGAACTCAATAAAGGAAGTGAGGCTTTTTTTTCTTGTCATCCATCTTCTCAAATCTTTGGATGTCATTGTAGAAAGAGGAACAAGTTCCTCCACAGATTAGCTGTTCGGATGGTTTTACAGCTGGTAAGAAATAAAACCACGAGACTGAGAAAACTGGTGTGAACATAAGTAAAATAAGAACCACATGTGGGTTTTGCAAATTAGGGAAACATACGAAATACAATGTGACATGGTTGTGTCGGGTCCTCTGTGAGACAGAACAAAAACAGGAAGTGCTTTTATAGTACAACTCTGAGCTTGTTGTCGTGCTGAAGGACTCTCTCAGCATTTGGTTGGTGGTTTGGTTACATGAGATTTTGTGCAGAGCCTTTCAAAATGAGTCAATTCCTCACATGACTGCTCCCGAGGTTTCGGCTTCTAAATGATAGAAAGGCGATCGTCCTTTCAGGGATGTCAGACTTCTTTTATGACTAAAAAAGAAAAAAACCATCCCAGAATAATTTTACACAGAACAAGAGTCCAGAACGGTTTGTCATCAGCATCTGGGCGAAATTAAAACGTCTCGTGCTGCTCAGCTCTACCAGTAACAACACGTTGGGAAAGTAACAATTAAAGAAGTGAGACATTCGGCATCCGGTCCCATTTTATGACCTTTTGATCAGATTATTTGCAGCATCAGAGAGTCTGAAGCACTTTAACAAATATTTAAACAATCTTAAAGTGCTTAGATGTTTAAGTGGTGACATAACTTTCCTTGTGGCGAGCATGGTGATGGATTTACTGATGGAGGTGGATAACCGCATTAACAACATAGGGCTGGAGATCTTTTTTCTCAGCTGTTAATCTCTTTCTTTCTAGCTTTTTCATTTTAAAAAAAGTGATTACGAATGAAAGAAAACCGTTTCAAATACTGACTTTAATTTCCATCGTCTCTTTTCTAAATTGTACAGCAGAGGCTGTGATAATTCTTGTTTAATTATGAGAATTTAGTCATAATACTAGCAGAATCAAGAACAAAAGAACGCCTTTTAAAAATCACATTTGAACGTTTTTGTACTTCCAGTTGATTTTCTACTGCTTCTTAAAACAGCAAGAAAGCATGCAGCCATTTTCTGACAATAAATTAAAAACCTTCACAAATCAGCGAGCGCTGCCTGTTACCCAGAAACCCCACCCGTTACCTAGCAACCCCGCCTGTTACCCAGAAACCCCACCCGTTACCTAGCAACCTCACCCATTACCCAGAAACCCCAGCTTGTCACCTAGCAACCCAAGCAGAGCTTCAGTATGTTTGATCAACTGGTTGTGCCGCTTAATTTATCAAGCTGTTTATTGCTTGTCGTGACATGTTTACTTGGCACTTAAGCACAGAAGTTTCTTATTTCCGCTTTTCTGGGTTCAGCCAATCAGCACAAGCGAAAGTAAATGCAGCTGCTTCATTGTCTGGTTTGCTGACGTCAGCCAATAGCGTGTAAATACATCTTGTCTCAGCTTCCTAAGCTGCATTTTTTTCCTGTTATTTAAAATATGCTATATGAAAGTAATTTAGAGTAACGTTCCACAGAAAATGATGAGTAAATAGTCAGGGTTCATAGTATTTCAGGGTTTCTGGAACTGCTGGACTGAATGCTTAAGTCCAGCAAATTATCTCATTTAATTTAATTACTTTTTTCATTCGCAGAGTAGTTCATGTCAGAATGAATGTAAAGGAGCAAAAAGAAGCTTAAACTTGTATTGAAATCAAAATGTTAAATTAAAATTTAACTTAGAAAGCTGTTTCAAACATTTCAAATACACAATAACACATCAGCTTATTAAGATTCATTTGTTTCGGTTGCAGCTGAAGCAGAGCTGACCCCTCCTGATGACCTCTTCTTGTTGACCTTAAACACCAACTACACTCTGACCTGGGACTGGGACCAGAGCGCTGCCGGATCCGACTCCGCCACCTTCACTGTGCAATACACTGGGTAAATTATTTACATCTCCACTGAAAATATAAACCTGATATAGCTGAAAACAAAATGTTCTTACACTGTAAACACTCCACTCCTCTAGAAGATGCTCCACCTTTGATAAATGTTTTATTACAAGTACTAAGGCTACATAGAGTTCAAATCTGTTCTAAAATTTAACTCGGTGTATTTCAGAGGACTTCT